GGGGGGGGGCTCAGAGGTGAAAAGTTTGAGAACCACTGGTGTAAGGTATTTTCTATTACCCTCTACAGGTAAAGGCCATAGGATAGGCTGATTTCAAGGCAAAGAATCCTATCAAATGCATATTGGGATAAGTGGAAATAAAAATTTGTGCATCTTTCATTCAAATGGTGCATTATGACTACAGAAGAAACACAGTTAGGTCTTTAGCTATGAGGGAGTGTTTATCCCTAGTTATTGAACGAAGAAAACGCAGAAAATTATTAAGAAATAATTTTGGAGGTATTTTTAACACTAAATCCTAAAATAATACACCTTTTTTTTGAGTATGGAATGTTCATAGATTGAATTCTAGTCCCTATTTACATGCTCCTTCCATGCACCTTGATAGTTCAGGGAGCTGAGCTGAACAAAATGTTGCATCCATCTCATGAAAAGGACTGTGAGAATGGGAACATAAATTTGGCTGTGCCAGATTGTTAGTAGTTGTCACAGTCTTTCAATTTCATGTTTCATATTTATTTCCAATTCCATAGATTCAGAGGGGCTAAAACGCCATTGGATGTGGAACATGTCCCATACATGCATAATTTCAAAAATGATTGAAATCAGTCAACACAATAAATTTTCTTATACATGATCGAACAAATTATAAAAACATGCAACATAACCACAATATTTATACACAAAATAGTACATTTAAAAACATAAAGTTGACATGTTACAATCAAAATTTACAGTTATAAAATCAGCAATTTCAATACTTTAGATATAGTCAAATTTCAAAATTCTTATTTATAACAATAGTATTCCTCCACAGTGTAGAAAGAGTTGGTGGTCAGGAAATTCTTTAATGCCACTTTAAATTTAGGAATATCATATGATATTTGTTTTAAGAGTTGATGGAAGGTGATCGTAAAGTTTAAAGCCAGTGCACCGTACTCCTTTCTGGCATACAGTCAGATTTACCACTGGAAAATGCAAATCACAGTTTGATCTTATATTAAAAGTATGAACATCCGAGTTCATTTTAAATAAATCTTTATTATTAACAACAAACATTAATAAAGATAATATATACTGATTAATATTAATATTAACTTCACTCTAATACCAAAAAAGGAAGCTCGCTTCATAAAACTTTTGTATTTATAGCCACCCAAAATGTTTCCTGCCACTAGTTATCAAAGAAAGTAAAGTGGCCTCCGTAGTCTCATGACTCAAGGTACGCGGGTTCAAACCCGGCGGAGGTCGTCGAATTTTTAAGGGCGGAAAACTTCAGGGAACAAGTCCTCCGGGAGGGACTTTAAGCCCCATGTCATAGATTTATGGCACGTAAAAGAACCTGATGTCTATAGGAGACCTCTGAGCTAAATTAGGCAACAAGTTTCCCGCCCAAAGTAGTTTCCAATGTATCTGGTAGATGGGAGAAGTATCAAGGTACCGAGGGCCGACCTCGTTGGCTCAACGGGGCTGATAGCACACACCAGTACCGGTAGGGTATGGAGACTGATAGAATATCAAAGGGGGATGTACAATAGATCAACAACTGGTCGCAGTGCATGGGGAAACCCACCCCCTCCAATAATAATAATATCAAAGAAAGTAATTCATATAGAAGTCTCCGTAGAAACAGATAAGTCTGTCACTGAATAACTGCAAGGTATGTAATGCCATTTTCCAACAAATGAGGGAACAGAATCGTGTGAACAGTCAGAACTGAATGAAGATGTTAGAACTGAAACTGAAATCAATTGTTGACATTCTGAAACTGATTAGCCGGCTAATGACTGAGAATCCAGTCCATTCTGGTGCTGAGACTTTATGATTACAGCTTTCAGCTTTTGTCATTTTTAGTTTTAAGTAATCACACTCAAGAGGCAATAATTGTTTTGTGACTGATTGGTCCATATCACAAAGTGATAGAAAGAGAGAGCTCAGAATGGATACCTCAGTTTTAAGATTACAAATTAAATTATTAAATGCTCCATAACATCGCCATAATAAATTAAATGAAGCATGCCTGTACTCATTGTTTAAATTCTGCAACATACAGCAAATTTATATAAGTAAAAATGCCTGTGAAATGTTTGTTGTAAATGGATTTCATAGAACAATAAACAAGCATACTTTCAGCACAGTTATAAATTTAAGTTACAGGTATTTATATTTCTTTGCATGTAAGTGGTCTTAAAACGTGAAAGCTTTTAGTGGTCTGTCAACATACGTCTCAGAATCTGATATGCACTAGAAAGAGACAAATACAGTCCATTTGTGTCAGTGAAAAGCACCATAATGGTGATGGCAGAAATGTCAGAGGTTAAGTGTTAACAAGTAGCAATTTTAAAGTCTACACTAATGTAGATTTTATGGACATTTTTATTACCAAGTTAGGCCTGCACAGTCACAGCAATGCTCAATTTGTGCATTTGACTGTCCCCCTCTTCAGATATATAAGCATATGCTAAAGAAAATTTTCTCCCTAACTTCTTGATATAACTTGGTGAATATACCAACAACTGGGCAATATTTAATAATATGCATATCAGTACTCAGCCCTGCGTATATTATTTTTATATATGCTTCGGTAAATAATAACATGAACTGAATTATACTTGACTTTTAATTTTTGTATAATCTGCTTGTAATTTATATTCTGGAACATGTAGTCTCTGCAGCAGTAAACTTGTGATCATTATTTCTGTATGTGGATAAATATTTAAGTAAAATCATAAGAACAGTTTGTCAGAGTATTGCCATATAATTACATTTTATAACACAGTGTTGGTGTGTTTTTGTTTGCAGTTTGAACAGTTGGCATTCACGTGGATGGAACGTCAGAAGCTGGGTGGATCATACTCTTCGCACAGGGCACAATCAGAAAAACATGTTGTGGTTTGTAGCACCACATTGCATGCTGACACCATCATGGACTTCCTCAATGAGTTCTATGCCCACCCACTGCTACAGGTATATGGAGTTCAAGCAACAAGGTGGCTGAAATAACAGTATAATGATCTTGACATTTAAATGTGTTTACTGCTTTTACCACTTTTGTTAAAAAATACATATTTTTTATATTTATATATAATTCATATTCCTTAATTATCTGCCCCAAACACTACACAGAAATGGCTATGAATACGGTAGAAACTCAATAAAAGACAGTTTCTGGGGTCCAGCTTCTGTGTCCAAATTATAAGTGAAATTGATGTTTATCAAATTCTGGAATCCCTTCTATTTTGTATACTGTATTTAGGCAGTGATGAAATACTTACTGACTCCAACAGCTTAACAGGATTTCTGACCATCTGTGGTCAAGCAGCTAAAAGGGATGATCATTGAATTATAATTCTGCGGTTAGGAAAACCAGAAACATAGAGCATGTATATAGCAGAATATGGATTTTATCCCCTCTACCTTCACAATACAGCAAGAAATGTTTCAGTAAAGTCTTATACTGTAATTAATTTATTTTATAGAAATTTGTAAGACATAAATCATGTAAACTTAATATAATTCAACATCCTGTTGCACTAGGGGCACGCGGTAGCGTAGTTGGTTGAGGGGCGGGTTCAAGTCCCGATGAGGTCATCAGATTTTTTCAATTGACCTAATCCTTCCAGCCCTACTATGGCCTGGGGTTGACTCAGCCTCTCACAGAAATGAGTACCAGGAATTAATTAAATAATTTTCCTGGGGAGTAAAGCACAGCCGGCACGTAAGGCTGACAATCTTACTGCCATCTTTGAGCCGATTGTCTAGATACTGTGGGACCCTCAACGTCTCACAGCCCTATGGGCCTTCAAGGCCTGGTACAGGGATCGCTTTACTTACTTATCCTGTTGCACTAGTTAACAATTTAATTTGCAGAGGCAATTACTTACATGCAAGATCCCTTGTGCTTGTAGGCAGTTGGCGTGTTATGTTTGCACTTTTTTATAAGATTATCAATCACCTGCCTGAAACAAGCACAACCACTCCATGTGATAACAAGACTTGACATAACCAGAAAACTGGAAACATGAAATACCAACTGAGGAAAAAATACAGAAAGAATATGTTTTAACAAAATTCAACAGTAATTTGGAACTAGTTTCAACGAAGTTTTAGAGGAGTGAACTAAGAAAAGCGATACAGTGCAGAAAGTACATGTAACTATGTAACTGAGGATGAGTTTATAATGTTGAAAGATGTAATAGAAGTATCATTTATAAAAAATTAACAACATAGCACACAAAAGTCTATAAGCACAACAAGAAGTTTATCTTCAAGACTGCCCCTTCAAAATAAAACACATACACACATTAGGGCACATGATCAGAGCTCCGGCACATACAAATCCATAATGTATTGAAGGCCCACTGTAATACCTGATCTTAGCAGTGAAATGGTTGAAAATGTAAGGGTTCTAATGGGAATGTTCTGACTTCCAGGACTACTATGTGGTGCTTCTCTCTCCTATGGAGCTTGACACAACAATGAGGATGATACTTCAAGTACCTATATGGGCACAAAGAGTTATCTACATCCAAGGTTCATGCCTGAAGGACGCGGACCTTGCAAGAGCACGTATGAATGAGGCAGAAGCATGCTTTGTTCTTGCTGCACGGAACTATGCTGATAAGACTGCAGCTGTTAGTATTCATAATAAACGTATTAACAATATATCTATTCAGTTTTGGACTGGTATCTGTGGCCATGTTTGAGAGGTCAAGGACATTATGCAGGGTAGAGAGTAAGTAGGTAGCTATTGTACTTCATCTGGAAGTCAAGATAACTCTGCCTCCTTGTTGTGCGTCACTAATTCGAGAACAACCACAATGAAGTCTCTAACTGTAACCTAAGCAAGAAAATGTACTGAGCTGAAGATCGGTTTTCTGGAATGGGCACTGTGTTTTTTGGGGGATCGATATCAATGCCTTGGAGGTACCTGGTGCATCTATCTTCAGGCCAGAAGAAATTAATCATATAAGAAAGAAAAGGGAAACACAATCTGTTGGGCCCACTAGGTGAAGTTAATCAACTGACGTACTGATGAAATGAGCTTTATCTAATGGATCCAACAGAGTAGGCTCCTAATCTTGTGTCTGAGGATAGAGACAGAGCTATTCTCGAAAACAGTATAAAAAATGCTATATTTTAATCAGGTAATATGTAAAATGCAAATAAGGTGCCATAGTAACCTAATGTTATTGCTATTGGTCAAAATAAACCAGTTTATCAACTACAAATAAGGCAGCATTTATATGTGCCACTACATATTTATCTGTATTTCAGGATGAGCACACTATCCTAAGGTCATGGGCTGTGAAGGATTTTGCACCAAGTGTTCCTCAGTATGTACAGATCTTCCAAACAGAAAACAAGCTTCACGTAAAATTTGCTGAACATGTAGTGTGTGAGGATGAATTCAAGTATGCACTCCTTGCTAACAATTGCACCTGTCCAGGGGCATCAACCCTTGTTACCTTGCTGCTGCATACATCACGTGGGCAGTGAGTGAAAATTCCTGTTACTTTTCCCATGTAAACAGAATCTCTTCTCTTAATTAAGTCAGAATTTATCAGATATAAGATTCACTTTTTATATAAATAATAGTGTTGATAATATCTGATTTTTAAGATTTTTTGTGCAGATGGAAGAAGTCAGATTTCTGTTATAAACACTATTTTAATGTTAAATATGAGCAGGAAATTCATGTGTTGTTTTCTTGAATCTTATGTTTTCATCTTCTACCTTCTTACATATACGGCTTTGTTTACTGGGCAACACCACTTTTTGGAAGTCACATGTTCTTGAAATTCTCTGACAGAAATCCCACTTTTTCTATTGATACACATGTTAAAAAATGGAGGTGTGCTGCTAAAAAAAATCTTTGTAGTTCATAGTTGTAATGAATGTATGGTTTATTTCACATTGGAAATAGTAGTTGGTACAGAAATTACTTAAATATGGCTAATACAATTCATACTGTGAGCCGGGATAGCACAGTCGGTAAAGCAACTGGCTATGAGCTGAATGACCAAGGGGTCGGAGTTCAAGTCCCTGTGCAGGCAAGATTTTTCACTTCTCCATGCCGTCCAGACTGGCTCTGGGGCCCACCAACCTCCTACCCAATTGGTATGGGGGCAGGGGGCTCTTTCCCCGGGGGTAAAGTGGCCAGAGCGTGAAGCTGACCATCCACCTCAAGCTAATGCTGAGGTCAAGAAAACGTGGGTCTATACATGCAATCCCCCATATGTCTTCATAATGCAGTCCTTAATTATTAAGCACAGGAACAACTTTACCTTTGTGGCATGTAAATATTTAATCCCATTTTGTTCTCCTTAATGTGTTACATTAGGAAGCCTAACAGTCTGAGTGACTGCTCCACATGCCTAAGTTAGAATCACATGGGTTAGTCAAAAATATTTGACTCATGCTCTTCTATGCACAGGACAGACCATCCCCCATGGAAATATAAAATTATATAAAAGACCTCAACTGAAACTTTAATTCTGCTGCTTATAATTTTCTGAGATTTGATGCTGAATAATTTTGTAGATAATTACCAACATTCTGAAGGAACCTGCTGCCCTGATTAAGGATAGAGATGTGAGTTCAGTAAGGAAAATTAGTATTTAGTTTAGGTGTTTTTTACCTCTTTTCTCCCCGTTCCTTCCTCTCACACTTCTTTTACCCCCAAATTAGAAATTGACCATTTTCAAGACAATCTGTTTACTCACAAACACGGTCCAGCTGTCCCTTCTTTATATTATAGATCGTTTTCCTAATTTGACTTACTTTTTCTACAGCCAAAGAGTACAGCATTTACAAAAAGAATGTTGGTATTTATTTACAAAACTACATGACCTCATATCTCAGAATACTCCTTTTTATTCACTGTCAAGAGTCTCAAATTTTATATTGAATGGTTGTTTTATTAATTGGAAGCTACAAAAAATGAGGCAAGGCTCTAAATATTGCATACAGTATTGAACATAATTATTTATTGAATGGATATATTGTTTGCAGGGAGGGACAGACATCACAAGAAGAATGGCATCGGCTATATGGGAAATGCTCTGGAAACGAGATCTACCATATTGTTCTTGGAGACAGTCGCTTCTTTGGCGAATATGAGGGCAAGAGCTTCACCTATGCCAGCTTCCATTCACACAGAAAGTATGTACTGCTTCATAATGAAAGGTCACTAACATTAGTCTACATGACAGATAAACACTATTGCTCTCACATAAAAATATAACTTACTTACTAAGAGGGGCTTGAACTTCAGTGATATGGTAGACAGGATATACAGTGAAATCCATGTTTAGGATTTTTATTTTGAGGAGTGGGTTTATATGCTGAACTGAGAAATACGTAGCACGTCCACAAAGTAAGGGCGCGTTTCCACGGGGCGTGACACACTAGCATGAGGCAGGTATTCGTGAGTACGACCCATGTGAACGAAGCGTCGTGGAAATTCTTAAGACGTCACAGGCAAGAGTGAGGGCTCACGCTTCATATCAGACATGTTTGATTTTCAGTCGTGAGTTTGCCTCTACCATGTCTACACCTGATCGGGTCGTAAAATTACGAGAAAGGGAAACGCGTTCCAGAAGGAAATCAAATTGGTCTTCAGACACGCGTAGTAAGTTCTTGAAATCATCTGGGTAACTATTTCTGATTTCCATGTCAACCAAATTATGTGGCCCTAATTTCCTATTTAGAATCCACTTCCTAACCCACCATCGCCTTTTCTTCCGTTTTCCTTTTCTTACCGCCCTTCTCTCACTCCTTTTCTTGTACCTTCTTCTTCCTCACACGCTGGGTCGCCTATAGTAGGTTCTTCTTTCTTCTTGCTAAATTTTATCTCAGGGTTCTTTTAAAGTTATAAAGAGGTGGGGTTCNAACCTCCGGTTTCCGAATTTACGTCTGTTTCTAACGACCCCCGGTTTCCGAATTTACGTCTGTTTCTTTCGACCCCCGGTTTCCGAATGATGCTAAAACATGACGCTTCCTCCAACATTCAATTTCTGCTTTCACTAGCGTCACTGCCCTGTCACACCCTTAAATTTTTATGATTGGCTAATTTTAAAAAATAGGAGTATCTTAATTAGATATTCCTCCACTCCGCTTAAAGCTTACAAGCGTTTAAGGATTTTTGACTCCAACGTATTTCTGTCAGAAAGTGACAAATGCTTAAGCGTCGCTTGGGCCCTAAAAACTTCACTCTTTTTAAGTTATGGCATGTACAAACTGCCAAGTATTGAATTTACAAAAGATTTCTTTGCCCTATTCTTTAACGCAGCTTTCCACTAATAAACCTTTGACGGGTGTCTTCCTGTTTCTTGTTGTAAGCGTGAGAAGACGCTTACTCTTACATACAAGAATTGACCTATGTCTCACTACCCTTGTTCACTGCATTTCATTTTGAACAATTAAGCTTTCAAATGTATAAAGTTGATTACATTAAATTAAGTTGCGTAGCAGTGGAACGGTTACACTTTCATTTCCACCATCTGATTCATTCTCTGCGCTAAAATAGCAGCAAAAACTGAACTCACAACAGCACAACTTTCTACGAGGAGCTCGTTCATGGTCGGCTTTCCGCGATCAACTGAATCACGTCTTCGTAGACACTTCAGCCAGTATGAACTACTCACGACCCACGCCTGCAAATTCACGAAAGCAAGTACAAAAGCGTTGCACGCTTTCGTATCCACACCCCGTGGGAACATAGCGCGCGTAGTATATTGTATTATATTGCGCGAAGCGACTGCGCGTACGTGATAGAGCAATGACGTAGCATGGCGCATGCACAAACGGAATTTCCCGCGTTCCCACAGTAGCATCGTTGCAGCTGTTGAAGATGGAGGCTCTTATTCCAACTCCCGCCGACTGTGAAGTGCGGTCAGTGATAAAGTTTTTGAATGCACAGAGCATAGCGCCGATCGAAATTCATCGTCAGCTGTGCCGGGTCTATGGGCCTAACGTCATGAGCAAGCAGATGGTGCATCGCTGGTGCAGACAGTTTTCAGCAGGTCGACAAAGTGTGCATGATGAGAAGCGCAGTGGGCGGCCATCCATCATTACAGACGACCTGGTGGAGCTTGTGTGGGAACGCATTATGGAGAATCGTCGCGTCACAATTGCGGAACTCAGCAGTCATTTCCCGCAGATTTCCCGCTCCTTGTTGCACGAAATTGTCACGGAGCACCTGTTGTTCAGGAAATTGTGCGCCAGGTGGGTGCCGAAGCAACTGACACCAGAACACAAAACAAAGCGCATGGAGTCAGCATTGACCTTTCTGCAGCGGTACCATGATGACGGTGACGAGTTTCTGGACCGGATCATCACAGGTGATGAAACGTGGATTGCACACATTACCCCAGAAACCAAGCAGCAGTCAATGCATTGGCGTCACAGTGGATCTCCCTGTAAGACGAAATTCAAGCAGATGTTGTCGGCGCGGAAAGTGATGTGCACGGTATTATGGGACAGACAGCGTTACTGTGAAACACTGCAGAAATTGCGACGGGCCATTCAGAACAAGCGGCGCGAGATGCTTAGTGCCGGTATTGTCTTCCTGCACGATAACGCTAGGCCGCACACAGCTTGAGGGACAGCAAGTCTCCTGCAGGAGTTCAGCTGGGAAGTGTTTAATCATCCACCCTACAGCCCGGACCTCGCTCCCAGTGATTTCCATCTTTTCCTACACCTCAAGAAACTCCTGTCTGGTGAGCGTCAGCGTTTTGAGAATGACAGAGAGGCAGAGATGGTTGTCACACAGTGGTTCCAATCCCAGGCGGCAGACTTCTATGACACAGGTATTCAAAAGTTGGTCCCACAGTATGACAGATGTCTCAGTTCCGGTGGCGATTATGTTGAAAAATTGCTGAACACTTGATGTATCTGTTGCAATAAATATTTCCATGAAATTGTGTTCTGTTTCCGTAAACAGTCCCAGGAAACTTCCTTTGTGGATGAGCCTTGTATGTTAAATTGTGGTAACTTAACACAAATTATCGATTTAGGGTAATTAGGTTTCAGCAGCAAATGAAGGGAAATCTTAAACTGGGAAACACTGAATGAGAGTTCCATATATATATATATATGAAACCATTTATAATAAAAGTAAGCACTTGTTTTTGTTCTCTCTATGAAGAATAGAATTCCAGCCCATGTTGTATCTGCATAACAACATTAAAACAAAAACAAAAAAATCTGTGATAAAATTAAATGTTTTGTCACCCAAATATTTCAAGCATTCACTTTAATCATTATTTCATGTTTTACTATTTTCCTTATATTCTTCCAATTTTACCTACAAGAAGTATACTGCTCTTCAATTTATGTTCTAAGAACAGGCATAAAAATTAAACTTTTAAAAATGTGTAACACAAGTGTATTTGAGGCTCATCCAGTAGACATGCTGGCTAAACAAAAGTATATTCTATGTTTGTCCTGAAAAGCTGAAAGACGCAGCTGTGTATAGCCATAAAGCATTACATATTTAGTTTTCATTTCATGCATCCTGTTGTTTTATAATATACAATTTCTTTATTAAAACCGTCACAACACAACTATATTAAGGTCAGTGTGTAGCTTGCCAAACTATGCACTGACCTTAATACAGTTGTGTTGTGACGGTTTTAAAAATAAATTATATATTTAGGTTAGAGTAGACCAAGGGTGTGTGTAAAACAACCCTTGCACCATGAGCATAAGAAATCTGTTATGCATGCATTTTGTAAGATTAACCCTCTAGCAGTTCTACAGTTGAAATTAAGCACAGAACTTTGCTTAATGGGGCATTTTATTAGTCATATTGTTTGTAAATTGATTCCAAGGTGATAAAATCTTAATTCAGCTAGAACTTAGGTCACATAGGATGTGTGAGGTTTGTCATGGTACCTTCTGCAGGCGAGGGCACTTACTGGTCCCACCTTGAAGAGGTCTGCATAGTCGTGTCAGATATTTCACCTGGTTCCCCTTTAGCATTAACATCTCCCTAAATCTTCAGTGCAGAATTCCCAAATGAAACCCTTTACTTGAGCACTGTATCTTTGTATCACTACAGGTATGGCGTGGCACTGGTTGGTGTGCGCCCATCGGAGCTTCCAGAATTTTATGAGGACACAATCCTCCTCAACCCAGGACCACGTCACATTATGAAAAAGAGTGACACTTGTTATTATATGAGCATCTCCAAGGAAGAGAATTCAGCCTTTATACTGGGCAACCAGCAAAACAGTCTATGTCCTGACACAGGTACAACTTCAGCAGATGAGAAGGATGGAAGTAAGGAGAAGACTGCCTGCAGTGGCAGCCAGCCACAGAACACCAAACCTGACGGTATCAACCTCAAAGTCCACGTTGCTCTCTCTTTGTGTCCAAGTGAGTGTTGTCTGCATGGCTTATGGGTTCACAATCTCTGGGACAGTGTTTCTCATTACTAAGCTTCAGAAGAATTTTATTTATATTTTATCCTTTTGTTTATAGAGTATTTAATGACAAGGACAGAACTTCAAACCGTGCATCATAAAATGAGTAGGTGATAGTGAGTAATGTGTGGAAAAGTGTTTTGTAGGAAGCTGCTGTGTCCTCATTTGGAGTACTGCCCCAACATTTTCCTGAGGGTACTGAGGAAAGCCATGTAATACCTCAGTCTGAATAGTCAGGGTACTGGCAAAAAAATTTGATCTGGTTTCCTCATGAATAGAACACAAAGGTATTGCTGTTTGAGTCACATAGCTCAGTAAGAATTTTATGACAAGTTTTCCCATTGACTGAAATATTTAGAATATTTTAAGTTATCATCAAACATATGTGATCAAATGGAAATAACTCATGACCCCATGTAATATGTTATTAAGGAAAGGACTTAATTAAGGAACAAGGCATTTATACAGATTACATAATGATCTAGAAAGCTAGAATGGGCTTGCCATGTAACTAAACAGGAGACAAGAAATCTATGCAGAATATTAGGAAAGAAACACCTTGGAAAACAGATACTTAGAAGATTAAGAAGGCGATACAACAATATTCGACATTAATTCTTTCACAGTAAAGTACATATGTGACATTTGGGGTGGGGGTTGTTTTATAATTCTGTCAACTGAATGGTAGAATGATGGACGAATTGGAAAGGATTTGGAAGGAATCGAAAATGGCCAAATTAAGGTACAGTTCCCCCAGTTGTCTGGAGGGTCTGAAGAAAATCATGAAAGCTCTCAGTCAGGATAGCCAGTGTCCCGTGCAAGATTGTACCTGAGCATCTCCTGAAGACACTAAATCATTACCATTAGAGTGACCTGTTCAGTGTTTAGGTGGCGTGACAACCCTATCATATCAAGTATTTTAACAATATTAAAAAGAAGTTTCACTGCACATTTTCTAAATTGATCTGGTGGTACTTCATCCCATGAGATGTCATGGTTTTTGGATTTTTGTTTTTCTGGATAGTGTCTAGTGCCTGAATGGGGAATTTTATAACATTTTACAATGTAACTGCACTATGATCTTCCAGGAGAGTCTAGCCAATGGGAGTATATTTTTAAGTTTAAGGAGTATATTTATTTCAATCCTGAAAACGTTAAGCTGGACCATAGCTAAGTTGTGAATATGGAAGGTGGGTTGGGCTAGCTTAGGACTGTGTCAGATGGAGGGCTTTGATATTACTTTTGTTGGGTCTTAGGTTTCACTAACAGAGAGTTCATTATGAGTCAGATTGTAAATTTGTCTTTAAATTATTCTGCAGAATAGATTCAATTTCATAGAAGTGCATAGCTCATGAGAAACGCTGGACTACATTATGTTGCTTTGTTCACAAATTCTTTAGTCCAATTCGAGAACAAATTAATTGGAAATTCTTATTCTCAGTGTGTAAAATTTTCTGGAAGCTGAGAACTACATGCTTATATGAATGTGCATCATCATTGATCCTTTGCTGTTTCACACCAATTGCTATTGTTTTTTCATACTATTTCTGCTTTATATTCGTGTGTGCTTTAAAATAAATAGTACATACACACTAGAATGGAGTAAGAGCTCACAGATTAAAGGAGATGAAAGCTAAATGACACATATTCTGTTTATACACAGAAGATTGGTGAAGAAGTCCATTAGGTGTAAGAAGGGTTGGTTTTACTGATTATTTTTTATTGTAATTTGGAATAGTTTAAAATGTGGTTGTTTTTATTGTGGTAGATGATGGATGTTGAATTACACTCTCTATCTTTATATAATTGTGTATTTAAATGGAATGACTAACACTAGAAGGGGCAGTGGAACGGGATGAATGACCTAAGCCATGATGCTATTCACGATATTTCTCTAAATGTTTCCATGTATGGGTGTGTGTATGCTTGCACTTGCGTGTGAGGAGTGGGGTGAGGTGCACGAATGCATGTGAAAATTTGATTTAATTTGTGATATATTTAATCTTTTGACTACCACGCCCTGCCATAAAACTACCTGTTAGAAATGCTGAGGCAGCATGTTGGTAATTGATAAATGCAGTCACACAGAAAAACCAACAGTACTACCACATATAAATTTCAGATAACCACAGATGTGGATACAGTGAAGGCCTGTTCTTTCCTCTAAAAATCATTACATCATATTTGATACACTCTACAGACACAAATACTGCACTAAGTGATAAGCATCAAGTTGTTTTGTTTGGCTGTGGTAGTTTCACTACAAGTACACTGGGTTTTTTAATTTGAATTTCTGTCAGTAACTCAGACTATATAGCTTTGAATGGCAGGAAGATTAGCAAATAATGATTTGGAAATGATTTAAAAGAAAATGTCATGGCCTAATTTAAGGTATTATCCTGACATTTGCCTGAGAGAATAAGAAAACTGACAACCTCAGTAAAGAAATTGGTATGCTGGTGAAGACAGAGACCAAACGCCTCCTGAACACAAGTAAGAATCATTGCTCCTTGGGGTAACTGGTCAGTATTGTGTGTATATGTGAGGATGCATGCTTCTGCACAAAGATATGTGCGCACACATGTGAATAAAAATTAATTTAATGAACCTGGGAATGAAATTCAATATTATATATGGAAGTAAAAGTAAATAAAATAAAGGTATTCCTGTAACAGGCTGCTGAGGCCCATAGGGTTGTGAGATGTTTAGGTTCCCACATTTTCTAGGTAGTTGGCTCAGATGGAGGTGAGATTGTCAGCCTTACACGCCGACCGCCCTTTACCCCCAAGAATATTCCTGGTACTCATTTCTGTTAGAGGCTGAGTCAACTCCAGGGCTATAGTGCAGCTGGAAGGATTAGGTAAATTGAAAAAATCCAGTGACCTCATCAGGATTTGATCCCGTGACCTTCAGCTTGTAGCATAGTGCCTCAACCAACTATGCTACTGTGTGCCCCTTCTATATGGAAGCACTTGCCATATATGAAACATTTTCTTATGACATATATATATGAAATTTGAGGTTTTCAAGACAGTGTGAAAATTTATATGGTCTTCTTGGTTATGATATTTCACAGCCTTAAAGGTGGTTAATAACCTTTCGCAGAAATATACTGTCTCTGTCTTCAAGTTAGAAATCACATGATGATAGTGGCAGCAAGTTCCTTTGAATAACTACTAATCATATAAGAGACAACACAATATTATAATCTGGAAGATGGCAGTTTAAATTTAATCTTAAATTTGCTAAATCACTTTACCAGTTAAATTTTGCAGCTGAATTAAATATTTATTTTTTCTCATTGATCTCTGCATCTTGATTCCTGATCTGATAAATATTTTTCTTTTCCTTTCTTTTTTAACTTATATAACATTTACTTTTACCTTCTCTCCAATATAACCAATATATGTATATGAGAAATCTGTTAATTTTGTGTTGTAAAACGTTACCTTTTTCTTGTGTGTTGTAATTCTTGATGATTTTAATGTGATAATATGTGTGTGCAGTACAAAAGCCTTAACATAAATACTTGAGTAACAACTCTAATTCCTATATTTTATAAGGGTTGATCAAATTAAACCTGTTCTACCTGCTGCATTCACTAACAGCACTGCAGACAGTTTTCATCAAAACTATTCTGATATTTATTTGGTTCTTAACAATATAATAATTATTTATTTACTTTCAATAGTTATGTATTATAAATCATACTATAAATGATTTTTACATTAATCATAAACTGTGTGTCTAATCTTAAATGGACTAGAGTTTCAGGTAAGAGTATATTCTTTGAGAACCATATTTCTAAAAATATGTTATATATTATCTTGTAACCAGTACAGTTAATAATATTATTAAATTCAATGCTAAGAATATGATATATATTCCAAATACATACAGTCAGAGAATTAAGATAATCACATCTCATACCATTATACATTTAAATTATTTTCTGCCCTCCTAGTTTTCTCTGAAGCTTAAATGTTTTATAAATTTCTACATGAGAGTTGGTAAACAACAGTCATACTCCAAAGTATTTTTCATTAAAATACCATTTATTTTTTACAAAGGGTGCACATTTTGTTACTTATTAAAATGTTATAAAAATATAATCAACTTATCAACACATATGTAACAATACTTGAACAGCTACATCTGTGGAGTCTGGTGGCTATGGTGACTCTCGTCAGTGCCTCAAAGAGAGCTCGCCAGGGTTGTTTGCACCAGATGTGGCAATCACGGGAAACCATCTTGACGTGCCAAGACCAGGTGACAATCCAAACCTGTTGAGTCCCGAAATTCTCAACCAAAGGAGAGGTATGATATGTACAACAGAATTGATTTGTAAGAGTATTTTGTTAATATAGAGTTTCCATATGCTTTCTCAAAATTCTTAATTCGTAGTTAGGACTGAGTGAACAGAAGGTTGTTGATCCTGGTGATCATATTATTTACTACCAACAACAACAACAACAACAACAACAACACAGAGTCTTCTCCAAGCTGTAGTCTGCATGGTAAAAGATTCATGACTAAATATTCCATTATTTCTGTACCAGCAGCATTTTAAAGAGATATTTAATACTATATTTTTCTGCGTTGGCTATATAAAATGCGAAATTGCCATGTGCAGCCTTTTCTTGTTTGCCTACTCTTTCTGTCTTCCTCACCTTCCTTCCTTCCTTGCCAAGAGATCTTCTTAGGATAAAATTTCCTGCACTCTTTCTATGTGTAAAATTGTTCTTTTGTGACTACCAGCATGTTACTGCAGTTCTGTTTGTAGAACTGCAGCAATAATTGAGAAACACATGTTACAGTGCAGGGAAGTTATCGTGACTGAATTATAGCTTACGTTTGAGACCTCACGTCTGACCCAGCCGACACGAGTTCCATCAGTGGGAAGCATCCCTCCAGTAAAGGACAACTGATATTTGTGCCACTATTCTGCATGTATAGTGTCAATTGGAAAGGTTATAATATGTAAAAGCTTGAGAATTTGTATTGCTATTTGTATCCTAGATTTTCTGGGAAGTAGTGGTCTGGAATGGGGTCCACTCAGCTTTGTGAGGATAGATGAGGAGTTATTTCAAGGAAATGGAGGATCCAGTCTAGAAGAGGGAAATTAATGGCCATGAGGATTAGTTGCGCTGACCATGCGACGCCCTCTATCCGCTAAAGTTGGCACTAACTTCACCAACAAGAGACAGTTGCTCGGTCGGTATAGTTTGCTTGCGGACTCAAGCCACTGAGTTTGTTTGGTTGTTGTTATTTGTATCTTATTTTGAACATAAATTATTTGAAACAGAACCATGTGAGATCATAATCAAAATTACTGGTTTCATAGCACCCATATAACCTCCTCATGCTCATGGTTTTGATTATACATCTGCTTGCATGTGTTCTGTGTTCTGTGTTCATGTAGGTAGCCGCCGCCCCAGCATTCTTCCAGTTCCAGACATGTTCACTAGTTCGACCCTGAACATTGCTTCTGAGCAGCAGGATGAAGGAGATGAGAGTGATGATGAAATGGATGATGATGTACCATGGCGATCTCCCAGTGAGAAGATTGCGTGAGTACAATGGAATTTTCCTCAGTGGTCTGGACTGTAGTATGATTAGTAATTAGAGCATGTCTTGTTTTTGCAATGTACACCTCCACAGAATTTGAAGAGTTTGTTTTGGAAAGCTGAAGGATTTCAAATGAAACTGAATGAATCTGTTGACACTGATCATGCCATATTCTGTAGGTTATGCATAAATATAATACTAGCAGAGAAACTACTGGCTTACGTTTTGTATTAAAGGAACACTCGGTTATTTATTTGTGCATTATTTATTCATCTTCTATATACTTTCCTTAAGGTTTGCCTTTTTAAAACTTTCGTGTTCGTATTCTAAATCATGTATGGCTAGAACCGAACTTTGAATTTGAAATTTAAAACTTTTATTCAAATATGTCTTAGAAAAGAAATCTCACTCTCACCACAGTTAGGTTAACTTTATCTTCTACTCTAATTACAGCCAATCGGTATCCTTATAATCTATAGTATTTCTTGTAATACAGTTAATGAGGTACTGAACAAGGCCCAGTAAGTGGAATTAGCTCTAGTTAATAGACCCAGCTGTGTAGGAACTCTCCAACTGAGGAACAAAGCAGATCCAGTACCAGAAATGATGTTTAGATTTTAGAACACCAGAGAGGTGTTCAAGTGATGCACATTCTTTTCAGCAGACTCACAATATGATAAATATAAATATTTACTCTGCTGTGAAACTGCAAGAAGCCAATTTCAAGTACAATTTTTACCTGGCCAAATTACTAGCCCAAAGGAAGAAAACATTTACAATCTACAATCTCTAATTTCAAAAAGAAAGCAGTATAAAACCAATTTGAATCCTTTCAGGTCCAATTTCAAGTATACTTGTGTCTATATGATATGTCTGCTGGGCCAGAACCATGATTATTGCCAACTAATGCAAATACAGTACATTTATGCTCCATATATTTCGAACACTTGAAATTTTCTGCCTATGAAAAGAATATAAGGTCCGCCTCTGTGGTGTAGTGGTCAGTTCCTGGCTACAGATCCAGAGGTCCAGGTTCGATTCCTGGCGCTACCAGATTTTCTGAGAAATAATGGATCTGGAAAGGGGTCCACTCAGCCTCATGAGGATAATTGAGAAGCTATTTCAAGGGAATAGTGACTGTGGTCTAGAAAACAGAGAATAACGGCTGTGGGGATTTGTTGCGCTGACCACACGACACCCTCTATCTGCTAAATTTGACACTAACTTCGCCGACGAGCGGCGGCTGCTCGGTTGGTATAGTTCGTTTGTGGACTAGAACCACAGAGTTTGTTTGTTTGTTTGTTTGTTTGTTTTTTTGTTTGAAAACAATATAAGTTGAAAAGATTCTGAATTAGTTTGCCTTGAAAAACTGAAAGAATAACAAGGGAAGTGTAGGTGTACTTCTTATTAATTTCAGTACTTGCAAGAAACATCTGCTCTGAAAGTGGTTAAGAAATATGGAAGTGAAAGGGTTAATGTCCTACTCTCATTGGTTTCTGTATAGAGACATGTTTTAGTGTAAATATATCATCTCCTTCAGATTTCTGTAAATATTTTGATTTTGTTTAGAGGTTTAATTTGAATGTTGTTTCATCCACCCATATAAGATGTGTTGAAATTCTGCTTAAAACATTTTAGTCCTTACATGGTATTTGTATTATGTACTGTGGGGTTAAATTGTGGTGACAGAATAGACATATTTCATAGCATATATTAGAGTGAAATTTATGTATTAATAAATAAACTTTATAGTTTTTCTACTTAATTCATTTTGACATTACAAATCATATATGGAACTATTATTGTTTTAAACGTTTTCTTGATTACAGTTGTTGTTGCTAAGATCTAACAGTTTACCTACTAACATCATTGCTATTGATCATCTTTTGACATTTTCACTTTTCTTTGGGTCATTTAATTCTTATTACTGACACCAGAAAGCAATGAAATATTTCGAAGTTTGATCATGCGTAGAGTTGATACTACACTGTAAATTCTCTTTATATTAGATTTCCCTATTCTGCATTGAAAATACACATAAAACAAATCGAGGACTGAAGAGTACATATTGTAAATAGTAACACAAAATATAAAAGTACCATTATACCTCTTCTGATGGACTGCCTCTGTGGTCTAGTGGTCAGAGTTCCTGACTACAGATCCAGAGATCCCGGGTTCGATTCCTGGCGCTACCAGATTCTCTGAGAATTAGTGGGTCTGGAATTGGGTACACTCAGCCTCATGAGGATAATTGAGAAGCTATTTCAAGGAAATAGGGACTGTGGTCTAGAAAACCGAGAATAATAGCCATGGGGATCCGGTTCACTGAGCACCTGACACCCTCTGTCTGAAAAAGTTGGCACTAACTTCGCAGACAAGCAGCGGTCACTCGGTAAAGTTCGATTGCAGACTACGAGCCACAGAGTTTGTTTTTGTATACCTGTTCTGATCCGGCTGTACTCTTTATACACGTTTTGCACCTTAGTCCCTCAACATAATTCTCAAATTAACCCCCTACCCCCAGTAGCTCTAATTAAAAAAATAATTCAATAAATTTAGGTCAGGATGTCTCTTCACTTGCAAATGGAACAGGAAAATAATAATTTTTAGGACTTCCAGATACATGAGCGATAGAAATTCACCACTTAGTTGTCTCCCCCCTCCCCTTCAAAGATTTTATGAAAAATTGATCAAATTAATTCATGAATTTAAGATGTGGTTTTCCGGACACAGCATTGTAACATTGGACTTGCATGATAGAGGAGTTGTGCAGTTTGACATTCTTTTCAGTATTATGCTCTACCAAATAGTCTTCTTTTATTGTGGTTAATTAATTCTAATTGTCTAACCACTTACTACCAAATTCTTATACTCAGTTACATGTAATTATAAAAAAGAATTTTAATTATATTAATTATATTTTATTTTATATCAATTAAAAAGAATTATCTAACCACTTACTACCAGATTCTTGTACTCAGTTGCATGTAATTATAAAAAGAATGTTAAAAGAATGTGGAGCTGACAGCCAAATTAATCCCACAGTATATCTGAGTGCTTTGTGGTGAGTTGCAACTGTCTTATATGTCTATCTCTTCTTTCTCTGCCAAACTCTTTGCATTACTCTCTTGCTTTTCTATCTGTCCCTTGCTTTTCCCTGCAGTTGGTCAAACTGTACCCACCTGCTAATGAACATCTCAGTGGTAACATGCTTGAAATGTTACAACACACCTAACCTGTCATGACTTGCACGCCATATTATGTGTTTCCATTGTTCTCACGTATCTATTGCACACATTTGCTGTCTTCTCAGATCTGACGTTACAGAGGGACAAACTGAAGAATGTGCTAACAGCACATGGCACAATGAGTATGGACGGTAAGTGGCCTCTTGAAAAAGCCAATTTTCTTTATTTTGTGCTAAGATGAATGTTCTGAAGTTTTGAATTCACATCTAACATGGCCATATTGTGAGAAAGTAAATTAATGATTTAGGTTCACCAACATCATTAATATATGTTCACATCTTAGTTAAGAATTATGTTCTGAGTTGCCGTTGTTGTTGCACTGTAATGTGTAGAAACAGAATTTGTATTCACTGTCATTCATACTGAGTTAAAATAAAATATTTCTGAAATTAACTTCAGATTGGTATGAAAATTTATATCTGTACATAATATTTTTATATTGCTTTCAGTAGGATAACAGGACTTGAAAATTTTAGCTTTCATTTTTTTATTTTTATATACCATACATAATGACACAGAAGACAATATGTTAAGTTTAAACAGAGAACTCAAAGAGTAGAGGTTTCCTCATACCTGAAGCATACAATGTGAACCCTAAATCCTTGAATTCTATATGATGTTCAGAAAATACTGTGTTGACTTAAATCACACCATAATTATTTCCAATTGAAACACTATTTCATATATGTAATTAACATGGAGATTGTAATTAAGTAATGTATGTTGGGATAACATGATGACAATTTTGATAACTGCAAAGTTGTCCAAATGAATTTGAAACCACCCAGCATATGCAATAGCTGACATATAAATAAACACCACAGATAATCAGCAATCCAGGCAAGTACAATTATGGGTATTAATAGCTTAAATAGTTTTCTGTGATAAGCCAGCTTATGTCAGCCAAGTCAGTCATGGGTCATCACTTTTGCATACTGTGATATATTCCCTGAAGGTTAGCAACATTAATGTAATATTCAGAGCACTTCATGGCTCAACCTGTTAAGGGAAAGAAGTATGAAGTTTGTTTTACATTAGAAGTAGTGGCAAAATTTATGTAATATTCAGAGCACTTCATGGCTCAACCTGTTAAGGGAAAGAAGTATGAAGTTTGTTTTACATTAGAAGTAGTGGCAAAATTTATTTTATAGTTGCCTGGATAACACAGTCAGTATAGCGACTGGCTACAGGCTGGATGACCAAGAGGTCAGAGTTCGAGTCCTGGTAGGGCCAAGAGTTTTCTCTTCTCCAGAACGTCCAGACCAGCTCTCGTGTCCACCCAACCTCCTATCCAATGGGTACTGGAGGTTCTTTCTCCAGGGGCATAGCAGCCGGGGTGTGAATGTGACCACTCACCTCCATCTAGTGCTTAGGTCAAGAAAATGTGGAGCTACACATCCAATCCCCCATATGCCTTCATGGCATAATGCTTAATTAGTTAAGCACAGAGACAGCTCTAACTTACCTTGTCTGGTGAATGTAGCCAAAACTTAAATTGTAATTAAAAATTTAGGGTCATCTTATGTGCCATCCATCTTGTATGTCACTATGTATAGTAACTGTCATACTGTGTAACAGCAGTGCAGCAGTAATTTGTGGTAAGAGTTCTGTAAGCTAGCAGATCATTTTCATATTATATTATTTAATTCTGAGCCTTGATAAACAGTTTTTTTTTTATTCATTGGTTTTGTGAATGTATACAAGAACAGATATTAAGTAGTTTACAGTTGTTCTGAAACCATGAGTTAAGAATGTTTGGCTGATAGTAGTGAAAACCTGATTACAAATAAGTATCTACTGTATGGTAGGGTGAAGCATATGATAGTCAGAATTCATTATCTTGGAATGTATTGTTTATAAATGTTTGATGTCATTATAAGTACACAAAATATGTACAAAAGTTTGATACTACTAAAAGTGTTCAAAATATCTACATACAGTCAACTCTCGATTATCTGGGATAATGGTGGGGATGGAAATCACGATTAATCGAAAACCCGGTTAAGGCAAATTTTATTAAAAGTAGTACTGTAATACTGTACCTTCATAATACTATAGGCCTACCTGTATTTAAATTTATTCAACCTCATTTTTATGTCATCTCATAGCCTATTTAATACTTTTTTACACAACACTGAAGTATGAATTAGTTATTTCAATCACAGTCTTCAACAACATCCAACACTTTTTACGAATATTCACACTTAACACTTAAAAAAATTTAATATTGTCGTTTACTTTTTCGCGGCATTTTCCTTTTTCTGTTGAATACTTAACACAANCTAGTTGTGATACTGCAGATAGCAGTAATCGTAAATCTGTAATTTGGGTGATTGTAAGTGCGAATGTGAAATAAAATTCGCTACATCAAATACATCGAGAAGTTATTTGTCGCGTCATACGCCCGATACGTGACAATATATATAGAATCTCAGTACCACTATAAGCGTTCAAAATGCATTGCTCTTAGTTGTGTAACCTGGTATAACCTGGGTTCAACCATAGCTCAGAGATCAGATTGTCTATTGGTTTCTCTTAAACAAGACATTAATTATTGAGAAACGTTTCATAAGACACCTGGAATATGAACTATTATGATTCAAGACCCTAAGATAATGATCTATAATGTAAATTCAAGGAAAATGGAAATGAAGAAATAAAGAAATATATTGCCTGTGTCATTTCTGTCAAGTTGTAAAATAATTCAAGCTTTCACATAATTATTTTTGTATAATTTTATTCATTGACATTGCAATAAATTTCTAATGAATTGCTGTTTCTTATAGAATTGTGAAGGGCTTTCCTCCTGTGTCTCCTTACATTGGTGTAAGTCCAACTCTGTGTTACCTGCTCAAAGAGAAGAAATCACTCTGTTGCCTTCAGCTAGCTCAAGTAAGTTAGAAAATAAATTAATAGAATTTTATTATTTAACAGTAGATAGCAGTACGTGAGTATTTCTACATACCACAGTAGAACAACAGAAAAATATGTATGAATGTTATACTGCAGAAGGAATACTATGGAAAAAGAAGAGATCGTGAACATGCAAAATAATCTGTAAAGTATATTTAAATTAATATTAAGATGCCAAAACATGGAGCCTTACAAAGTGAAACAAAGGCAAAATAGGAGCAACAATTATAAATATTTTTAGAAATACTGAGAGAAAAATAGGAAGGAATAAAGTTAGAAATGAAATTCTTATGAAAGAATTTTGGAGTTCAAAATTTTGTTCACAGAGTTAGAAGGTAAATAATTACAATGGTTTGGCAAGGTATGAAGAGTGGATAGAATATGGATACTTGAAAGAGCATTAGAATAAATATTTAAAGGAAGTGAACCTCTGGGATGACTAAGAAAAAGATGGTTTAGCTAGGTACTGGGAGGCATAAAGGAGGCAGGAAAGAGCTGGCAAGGAGTTGAAGAGGAAAGTTAGTCAGTATAGAGAAGAGAACGATTTCTCTGTCATCAATTCGTATAAAGTAGAAACTACATGTATATTAGGAGGAGAAAGACAGGGACAGGCTAAAACACATGGGAATCATGATCACTTACCCATTTTTAGGTACTCCTTTACAGCAGAAATTTAGGAATTCCTTATGTGTATTACATGTCAGCTGATTTTATAAAGGATTTAAGAAGTGACTGTTTAGTGAAATAAGCTAAGTAACAGATCTGTCTTAATAAATTACTTACATTATTAAAATATAATTTATATTGCAACCTTCTGGGTTATGACGTAGTCTCATAGGTTGTTAACAATACTTAGGAGGAACCTGCAGCCTGCATCTTCAAAGTGGGGTGTCAGATCTCCTCTGAAGGCGGAGACAGAAGTTTCCCCCAAAACGTCCATGATGTGTATATACTGACCGTCTTCTAGTGCACACAATCTCACTTGTCACTTCACTACATGTTTCAGCATCACTGTGCCATCCTCAGGTGTGTTATTTATAAAATGATTTAAAATGTATATTCATCATGTACTATAATAAAATTTATACCTTAAAATTTGTTAAGATTTATCATCTTATACGTCATATTTCAAACTTGCGTATTATATCAATCTTCCACTATGGGAGTCGTTCTTCCTATATTTTGTATATACTGTGTCTTGTGATGTGTCCTTTTGTGGCTGTGTGCCACATAGCAGAAGATTGATATAATACGCGAGTTTGAAATACGACATATAAGATGATAAATGTTAACAAATTTTAATATATACATTTTATTACAGTACATGACAAATATACATTTTAAATCATTTTATAAATGACACATGATGGCGAACAGTGCAGTAGTTTAAAATAAATAACACACCTGAGGATGGCACAGTGATGCCGAAACATGTAGTGAAGTGACAAGTGAGATTGTGTGCACTAGAAGACGGTCAATACATACATATCATGGACGTGAATCAGTGCAACAGGACGCTAAAATACAACATTCCCCCAAAACAATGCCTTCCACCTAGCAGACTACATGGTATCATAACCAAGAACACCACAATATAAATCTTCATTTCCATGACAACATAAAGTCCCAATGCAGAAAATTATGATAGAATTAAGGTCACATTCTGCTTTAAACTAAGGTAACATTCTCTTAATGATTACTTCTTTTATTTGTGCAGGTATGTGAACATTGCAGTTACAGGAATGCCAAGGAATATAACTGGCAAAATAAAACTATCATCCTAGCTGCTGATTATGCATCCAATGGTATTTACAACTTCATCATCCCACTAAGGGCACACTTTCGCTCCAAAACATCGCTCAACCCGATCATTCTTCTACTTGAACGTCGTCCAGACATTGCCTTCCTAGACGCCATTTCCTACTTTCCACTGATATACTGGATGCTTGGATCTATAGACTGGTAAGAAACATCTTCTGAAGTATGTTTACAAACTCTTGGTCATGTAAACTGTGAGAATAACATTTTAGGGTATGTCGTGTTCCCCTAGTGACAAAGGTTGCCTTATCATCATTAGAAAGTTATTAGATTCTATTTTCTGCATACAGAGGGAACCAAAATCACCATTCCAGAGATCTCATTGTACACACAGAAGTTTTCTTTCATAATGTTGCCTGTTCATGGAGCCATGATGGTTTAGTATTACAATGGGCTATGGGCTGGATGTACAGGGTTTGATTCCCAGCAAGGGCAAAAGATTCTTTTCTTCTTCTTCACAGCAGCCACACCAGCTCTGAAGTCCACTCAGCTTCCTATGCAATAGATACGAGTGGCTCTTTCAACTGGTATAGAGCAACTGGGGCATGAAGCTGATCACTCACTTCTGTGTAGTGCTGAGGTCAAAAATAGTGGAACTACACCTCACTCCCCAGTATGTCTTCATGGCATGACACTTGATTATTTAAGCCCAGGGTCATCTTTGCTTTTTATGTTGCCTATTCAGGGTATGGTGTTTTCTCAAAAATATTAGAAAGGATTTCTCTGTGTTGTAGCATTAGGTTCAAAAAGTAAATTTCTAAAGTAAATATGAAAAATATATAGCATTAATTACAAATAAATGTGCCAGAATCTTTTTGGGTGACCTGCTGCCTTGGAGTTGAGTTAGAAATATTTCAGAGACTTGCCTCAGCTCCATCATCAAGGTATATATGGGGAGTGACTGTAAGTTATACATCAGTAATTTACAGTCCTTCCCCATATTAAACCTGATGAAGTGCTGGTTTCTAACTCAGCTTTGATACATCTGAACTCCTAAGAAGATATATCAGTAAATATAAAATGTCATAATACTATATAATAGGACTTACACATATAGAGTAAGCGGCCTCCGTAGTCTAGAGGTAACGTTCCCATCTCATGACTCGTAGTACGCGGGTTCAAATACCCGACGGAGGTCGTCGAATTTTTAAGGGCAGAAAAATTCAGGGAACAAGTCCTCTGGGAGGGACTTTAAGCCGTGGGTCCCGTGTCGTAGCTTTATGGCATGTAAAAGAAACTCATACCTCCAAAGGAGGTCACTGAGCCAAAATTTCGGACGTTTCCCGCCCAACAGCAGTCACTAATACCTCCGGTAGATGGGGGAAGCATTATAGATACTTCTCAGCCAGTAGAGCCGGTCTAACTGGCTGGGCGGGACTGATGGTAAGCACCAATACCGGTAGGATATAGAGGCTAGTAGAAATCATAGAGGGAAGCACAATGGACCACTACAGGTCTAAGTGCATGGGGAAACCCACCCTCTGTAATAACTAACTAACTACACATATAGAGTTCTGCCTTATGATATATAATGCCGTGTAGTTCTTTGAAAGTCAACTGACGTTTCAGAGGAACATGTTGCTTCCATCTTCAAGGTTGAAGAATAAACCAAGCAAGAAACCAATGTGAAAACAGGTAGCAAGCAGAGCAATCAGACTGCTACCTGCTTCCATCCTTGTTTGATGCTTGGCTTATTCTTTGAACCTGAAATGGAGACAACATTTTCCTCCAAAATACTGATGGACTTTCGACAGACTGCACTGCATTATATCCCACAAGGCAGAAGAACTCTTCATAAGCACATCTGTGAGAACCTTAAATACTATGCAGATCTTTCATTGTTTTTAGCCTTGATGACTTACTACGAGCAGGAATAACTCTGGCAGAGAATGTGGTCGTGGTGAATAAGGAGATGTCGAACTCTGCTGAGGAAGACACGTTGGCTGACTGTAACACCATCGTTGCTGTACAAACCATGTTCAAGTAAGAGCACAGACAAGTCAGATGCTGAGCTAGAATCATCAATATCCACTGTTGAAGTCAAGATTATGCATTCATGTGTTAATTTTCTCTGTTAATATTACTGTAAGTTGAAGAGTACTGCCTTCTGAGATGTGATGCCATGCATTCTGATACTAAGCCAAGCAACCTACAAGCAAAATTATAGCAGACTACATGGCACCACACCCCAGAATATTGTACTTTTTCATGGTCACTGGGATAACGACCTTAGATCACACATAAATTTTCTTTGTTAGTAAGTATGAAGGGCTCAAGACTTAGACTTCATAAATGTCTCCCATTGCCACTAGTTACAGTTATGGTAACTTCTGTCTGTCAGTAAACAGCAGACACCTTCTCCCTTGCATATGACTTCCTAGGTCAGTGTAGAAAATGCTCTGATATATGGTGACAGCATGCGGACCTGTGCCCTAGACAAAGAACGAGGAAACAGAAGACATCTGCCTCAGTAAGTGTGTATAGTAAACACTGAATTTAATTAATATTCTGAAGTGCTTGTTAGTTGCTGTCTACAAAAAGATTGTGACCACATAAATAAATCTTAGTAGTATGTGAAAGCTACAATTTAAAATGATTTGCAATTTTCTTGTAATCTCAAGCCCTCATTTCAGTGTTTAGATTAAAACAGATACATATATATGTACACTTGTACATGTGTGTGCTTGTATAGTATGATATTAATATTTCTTATATTCTGAAGCCTGTGTTTGAACTCATAGCTAATTAATTCATTAATAATATGCACTGTTACAATATTAATGTTGCTTATATATCTGTGGTTGCGCTTTTACTAAATAATGATATCCATTTCCATGATACAAAATTTACTTCTTTTCTGGAACACAGTCTTAGTTAAATAATAATGTACACAACCATGATATCAATATTACTACTCTTCTGTGGTGTGTGTTATGTTTGTACTGTTAATAAGTTATATACAGTAATATATGTAACAGTAGATATGAAGTAAAATTTTTATTGTTAAACCTAGATGCCTTAGGATCAGCAGAGGTAGTTCATTGTTTTCTTGTACCTTGATGGTTATCTTTTCCATACTCAAAACCCTTTGGCCCTCATACCAGTTGTGTTGTACTCTGAATGAAACCAATAACTCTTATAGTGGTGAACAGAAAGATGACCAACACCTGCCAGAAACGGTGCTTCAGCTACATAATTCACAGTCACTCACTTTGTATGATCAGCTTCAGTGTATTATTGAAGAATATGCGAAGAGTTTAATTCTCTCTTCCTCAACTGAAGATTTGTTTTGGTGATTACAGGTTCTTCCCCAGCATAAAGAGCATCACAGAATTGTCACAGTCATCTAACATGAGGTTCATGCAGTTTCGAGCCCACGACAAATACGCCCTTCATCTCTCCAAAATGGAAAAGGTACTGGGCATTTCCTCCCAGCTCCTCAATGCAGATGAAGGTGCTGACAGGGTGCTTGCGCTGGTAACCCTCTTGATTTCAATTTCCTTTTCACGTTCATACTTCTCTGCATTGTATATGCATTTCCTTTCTATGAAGCATGAGAATTCATCTTTGACTGAGATGCTGAAAGCACTCGTAGTGAAGTTTTCTTCTAAGGTAAACTAACTCAATATGAAAACAATGGGAGAACTCATATGTGACATTAAACATTTCTTGTAATATTCACCCTTGCTTCTAGTCTATAAAAGAATTAAGAATAATTCTGTTACTCTGTGCTGTTTTCTCCTGTAAATGACTCCTTGTTACTTTTGGCTTTTGGTTCTTACTTTGCATCTGCACGAACCAGTAAACGCACTATATACTCCCTAAAGAATTGTGTAGAACTGCATATTATTATGTTATAATGTCCCATACAGCTTGGTGATATTTACACTTTTCATTCCGTCTTTCAGTGACAGATACAAGTGGTATGTATTTGGTGTAATAACAGAAACATTTATTTAACTTTTAATATCATCATCATTTCCATTGTTAGGTCTAATGAGACCTATTATGGATATTAGAATAAAAAACCCTTCCATTCTTTCTGAAATTTTCCCGAACTCCTACTTCCTTTTGCTTCATATTTTGAGATCCTTTTTATGTCCCTCTCAGAGCTTATTCTATCAAGGCATTCTATTGTCTTTATTCAGAATTAAATAAATTATATTAAATTATATAAATTGTAGTTCTGTTGCAATTATATTATTTCTTTTAAGTTTCGAAAGTGTGTATCATACAGTTATATCCATTAAAAACATTTATGCTGATATCAATCTTCTCTAGTAAAGTCTTTTTATCAGTGATTCACTCACATAACCTAACATTGGTCTTGTGCCTAATAAATTTATTTTCTTGTATGTTTACAAACTAATAACAGTTTGAAGCCGTAGAGTACAATTACTGATGACTAGGACCCGGATATTTATGCGCTAAAAAACTTAAAATATGAACCCAAAATAAAACAATATGCACTTAAGAAACAGGTCACTTTATTCAGACTCACCTATTTACATGTATCAATCACTGCAGAAAGTAGCATCACAATAGGCAGCTAGAAGTCTTTCAATGTTTTCTGGAGACAAACTACGTCTATTGTCCATCAAAATGAGTTTGTAGGCTGAGAATGATCTTTCTACATCAACTGACATGATTGGACAGTATTTATACACTGGCGCCGAAGGTTCGGAACATTCATTTGGCAAAGATACCCTAATTTCACTCAAGTACTGACTAACTGACTGAATCTCTTTTAGTCCTGGGTTCGAATTCAACACAATTTCTAACTTGCATTTAATCATCTCTCCAATTTCGCCTGGAGCAGAATTCAGTGAACAAGTTATGTTCTGAACAAGTTCAAGTGAGTCGTGAAGCAGTGGACCACAAGATTCTAAGCTCTCAGTGGCTTTTGAAACTGTAGAAAAATGTGCATGGATAAAATTCACATCTTGATAAACAGTATCACATCCAAACACCACTTTTGCTTCACAGACACATACATACTCATCATAAAGTTTTGCAACTAGAACTGGACACGAGCTGGTGCTTTCGGAAACAGTTTTTTCCCCAGTTGCAATTAAATCGTTAACAACTGGAAACTGCGCATATTTTTTCAGCAATACGGTGTAATCCATGCGTTAAACAGGTTACGTGTATAAGATTTGGATAAAATACTTGTAAGGCCTTTGCTGCTTTCAGCATATAGGAAGCTTCATCTGTGAGTAATGCAAGCACCTTGCAACAATTATTCTCAATTTCATATAGCCATAGTAGTCGCAGAGAATCATTTACAAATCTTGTTATTGTGCTATGGTTGGTTTTCTCTAGTACTTTGCAAGCAACAAGATGACGGTTGTCGGGTTCATCTGGAAGTAACTTACCAACTACGAAATATGCTATGTATCAGCCACATAAATCGGTTGTCTCATCCGTCGATATCCAGACACGGTTCCCTGCGATGTCAGAAAGTACACAATATTTTTCCAGAAATGATCGCACAACTGGATTGCTTAATTTATTCCATGGAATGTTGCTGCATACTAAAGCCTTACAAAGATCGGCTGAAAATGTATTAAGAGAGGATTTGGGTTTGACCTGTGTAAGAAGTAGTAGTTGTGGTGTGCTGTTCTTCTTCCCCTTCTTTGCTGTAATATGTGCAGTCGTTCTTGAGTGTTGTTCAAATTGAAATTTCTTTTCACAAAATTTAGTTCCTTTGCGCAAACTTGACAGTACACGATGACACCGTCTGTTGAACAGTCACTATTACCCGACACCCACCGAATTTTTAAATATCTACTGCTGCACTTTTCTTTAGGCATTTTCAGAACATGAGCACTTTTTTTGATGCAGACTATTAAAGTAAAGAGCAACACATTAACTGAGGAGACTTCTCTCGAGACTAACCCTCTGATGCTACTGTATGCTGTAGTGGTCAATGGAATGCAGGAAAATCCCACCCCCTCCTTTTCGAAATAGCCAAGCTACCTGCTTGTATTGTAAGTGGTAAAAGCGCCGTTACTCAGAGAGTTGAAAATAGCAACTGGCAAGTGATGTCCAAAACACAGGAAACCCCGATTCTGTTAGAGAATATTGAAATTATCCTTAATTTCAAACATATATGCAGAAATATGCTCTTACATTTAGAATATGCAATAACGACCAAAAACTCTCAAAATATGCATTTTCAAAAAACCCGGGCCCTACTGATGACAAATAAGTATGGAAATATTTTAGTGATACACAAAGCATTTCAATATTTTTAACAAGATTTGTGTGAAGTGAAGGTGACAGTTGTAACTGTAAAAGAATTGCAGCTCCTATACATAGGATTCAACATCTTTCTTATCAGAAGATAGAATTGGTTATTTGCTTGAAGATAAATTCAAAACTTATACCTTTTGACATGTCTTCATTTTTGAGTCATGTGCCATTTCTGTGGTTTACAGAAGCAGTGTTTAAAGTGAAAGCAAGATACTTGTATAAAAACCGTATGAGTACATATATATTGCTAATGATAATTTAGTATATAAACACATGTTCCACTCTTCTAATCCTCTAGTGTGTTGTGCCTGCTGATTACCTATTAAGAGAATGAGTGTATGCTTTAATATTTGCTTTAAACAATAACTGATGCATTAAAAGTAGCATAACAATTATTATGATTTGACAATATTTGTAGAAGTGTGTTTAGTTCAGTGAGTGCTTATTCTGCATCGTGCTTGTTAGCATAATAAGTAATTTTTCAAAGATTGCTTTCTTACGGTCTATAATTCCATGTGTGGTATGTCATTACCTACTTTTCAGAACAACCTGTTGCCTCCATCTTCAGGGTTGTAGAGTAGGCCAAGTATAGAAAAAGAAAACCCTTACAATTCTACCCTGAATATGGAAGCAACAGGTATGTAGGATCAGGCCACAGTAGGCAAATGATCTTCATAGTTACTGCAATGAGAACATGAAATCTTCCTTTCTAATATTTTATCTCTGCTTCGACTGGCAGTTTTCACATGTTCAGGTCACCCAGTGTAATAAGAATACATGGAGAACACAGGTTACAGATGTGTGCGCACACATACACAAACTGCCTGCTTCTAGCTGACCTTTCTTTGGCTTGCTCTTCAACCATGAAATGCAGGCATTGTGTTCAACTGTTATGTCTGTGAGCATCTACAAGACTGTACTATGGCATCAGTGTTATTCGTTTCTTTCAGTTGCTAATCAACTTAAAGAATCTAAAATACTGTGTTTCCCAGTGTCTAAGATAGCCATAAAAATCACAGTGCATCATACATATCAGGAATTACAAATAAAATGATATACCACAAAACACTGTTACTTTTGCCCCATGTTCTTTCTAAAACCTTGATTGGTGGTACTCCAGTGAAAACAGTCTCAAGGTCAAACATACCATATACTGGAAGATGTCCTAATATGCTACTGTTGACATGTTTGCTGGCGTGGCTCAGTTATTTGTTGGTATGTGTACCAACTGAGAAAAGCAAATTGAAACAAAAACAAAACAAACTCCGTGGCCTGTAGTCTGCAATCGAACTATACCGACCAAGCAACCACCACTTGTTAGCAAAGTGAGTGCCAGCTTTTGCGGATAGAGGGTGTCACGTGGTCAGTGCAACAGATCCCCACATTCCTTAATCTTGGTTTTCTAGACCAGAGTCGCTATTTCCTTGAAATAGCTCCTCAATTATCCTCAAGGGGCTGAGTGTACCCCGTTCCAGATCCACTACTTCTCAGAAAATCTGGTAGCCCCAGGAATCAAATCCGGACCTCTGGATCTGCAGCCAGGAATTCTGAGTGCCAGACCACAGAGGCAGTCATCTGAGTAAGGCATTGTCAATAAATATTAGAACAGCAGTTATATACATTTTATTTTATTTTCGTTATATGAGGAAGAATTACATACTGTCAGTTATAAATAAGTAATTTTGTTCTCTCTCCCATACACAAAACCACACTTGCCCCAGCTCCCTCCCCCTTTCCCCTCCCACACCCCTGCTTTCACTTGTATATGTGCCCCTCCCCCCTTTCCTCTCTGCTCTCACACAGCTGGGTTTTTTTCCAGGTGCTTTTACCGTTCTCACGGTCTTGTCGCTTGCAGATTCCTTATACTTTTTCTTCTACCCTGAAGATGGAGGCGATACGTTCCTCCGAAACGTCGGTTAACACCACTTATACACGGTGCCAAATCCCAAAAGACTGCTTTCTTCATTGTTGTAATCAGTTTATGAGTAATAAATATTTCTTGGTTTATCCTCCATATACCGTTATGGATCTTTAATTTTACATTATTTGATATCTTCTGGCCAGCAGAAATAAAGAAATAACTGTGTTCTTGATGAAGTATAGCAAGCTTCAGATCAAAGTTTGTGAATCAATGTTCTGTATACGAAGTATTCTCTCTATGCTAGAAGATTCATGGATGATGTATTTATGTATGTAATTAGCCATGTTACAACATTCTTCAAAAGATATATTCTGTAAATAGAAGTGATTCTCAAGTATTTCTTTCTTAGATTGTATATGAACTTGCAGCCACCCAAATTACCACTCATGATCCACATGGAGCCACAAACAACTGAGAAACATTACTCTGAAGAAATCACCCCAGAAAGTATAAATATGTCATACTTCCTTTATTTAGTTTTAGTGTACTAAAAGGAAGGATACTTTTCTTGTTATTTAAAACAATCTTCTTCATGCATAATGAATATTTCAAATGTTGCAGCGTGAGAAAGAACGAGGGTCACACATCTCATACATGTTCCGATTACCATTTGCTGCTGGCAGTGTTTTCAGTGCAAGTATGCTGGACACTTTGTTATACCAAGCATTTGTTAAGGATTATGTCATCACATTCGTGCGTCTTCTTCTCGGCATCGATCAAGCTCCAGGATCCGGATTCCTAACATCGGTAAATATGTAGTCATAACTGCACTGTAGTATGCAAGATATAGTGCATAAGGGTATATGATACTATTTCATACAACATGTAACAATAAATACTGTATATTTATAGAATTCAGAATTTGTTAATAGAGTTAAGGGAGAAATTATTACATGATTTGACCATGTGAGAAGTTTTTACAATTAAGTTTATTTCAGTCCAATGTGACACATAATGCTTCCACCACTTTAGCACTTAGTTACCCAACATGTTTCAATTCATAATTAATCATCATCAGAGGTATTCCTCTACAATCAGGAATCCACTAATACGTAAAAGTTTTTAAGAGTAGAAACACTTAAAACATTTATGATGCTCACTATATGTAGTTGTTGATTTTGGTTGTATAGACGTTGACATAATTTTTTTTTGTGATAAGAACGTTTTTGAAATGTATTACTTAGAAGTGGCGTAGTTGGAATCACTCCCTAAAGGATAATTAAGAATGTTCCACGTATTTTATATAAAATATTCAATTTGTTTCACCACAGCAGCCTTCCTTACGTTAAAATTATGTTTATGAGTATGTGCATAAACTTATTTTAAGATAAGAGTTTTATTCTTGAACCAATGTGGGTTGGTTTTATCTTCCTTAGCAGAGGAATTGTCGTCTATCCCTTGGTGGTGTGTTCTTGTTATTAACGGTGTGATTTGCATGAGTGCTGTGCTGCTTGTGCTGAAGAAGTGTAAGAAGTAATGTATTATTTGAGGTTTTCACGGCAGTGACTATGGAGAATGCCGTCTTCCAGGATGTGGCACCATGTGATCATGTGTGAACTGACATTTTGGAGGAATGTATCGCCTCCATCTTCAAGGAATAAAGTCCATGAGCAAGGAACCAGGGTGAGAAGGTGGCTGCTCTTGCTGGTTCCTCGCTCACACAAGATCTACAGGGTGCCACATCCCAGAAGACAGCCAGCATTCTCCATGTAAAAGGAAAGATAGGAACAAAATACTAAGTCAGACATTAGAATTCAATTTCAAAGGAAAGAGATCTGTTGGATGACTCAGAACAAGATGGTTCAGTCAGATAGTGAAAGATGTGAAGGAAACAAATCAGCTCCTAAGAATCTGAGGAAGATTAACTATGAGATGAAAGAAGACATTGGAGAAGTATATCCACAGACCTGCAAAAAAAAAGTGAAATGATAACAATGAAAAGAAGATGAAGAAAGATAGAGGGGGAGAGAGGGAGGGAGGATACTATTGAAGTAGTAGCAATAGTGGAAGGGTAGTATTTCATCTGAAAAATTAAGAAAATTTCGTTTCATTGGAAGGACCGAATTGGATTGCATCTCAACCCACATCACTCCAAGACCAAGGTTTTTGGTCTTCTGTCTGCACCGGAGGTGCATAGCCATATTTCATAACTGGGTGTCAGTTTACTTGACCTATATGAGATAGACTTAGTAAGAGAAATTGTTGTGAAGTAATTTTTTTTTCTTGGGGTGGATTGAGACTGAATCCACTTGGTACGTCGGCCACTATCTGGCCTATAGCATCAGTCCTGGATGATAGATGATGACTGTGGAGCAGTAAGTGAAATGAGAATTGAAAAGTCAAATCAAGTACTTAGAGATAACATGCCTAATGCCACTTTATCCACCACAAATCACACATGAACTTATTTGCGATTGAACTGAGGCTGCCGAGGTGATTAATGGCATGCCCTTTGGTATCAAGTAAGTACTGAGAGATAATCATGTGTTGTGTTGCAGATGAAGATAATGAAAGATGACATGTGGATCAGAACCTATGGGCGTTTGTACCAGAAGCTGTGTTCCACAACCTGTGAAATTCCAATTGGAATTTACAGGACGCAGGATACATCTCTGTCTGACTCATCACACGTGAGTAATTTTAGCTAAAAAGTTCTGCTGGAGAGGGTGTGTGCATATGCCACCAAAGAGAGGATCAAAGAAATAAAAAATACAGAATATGTTAGACATTCCTCATGAATCTTCAGAATTAATGGATTTGGGGACTTTTTCTATAATCCAGTTTTTCTAGAAACTTGAGTAGGTGTCTTCCCCCACTCACCTGAGGACAGAAACAGACCCAGCTTCCGAAATGTCTTGTTTTCTAGTTCTTAGAATACCAGACGATGGAAAAAGTAAAAAAAAAAAAATACAGCAATTCTAAGTGTTACACATCATTGTCAGAACCCTTCACAATCTACTCATGAATCTTGTTTTATCACATTATTTGAATTCAAATCAAAGGAGCCATTGTGTGGCACCGGTGGCAACCGGTGGCAAAAGAATTTAATACATCAATCTGAAAGTGATTCATAATGATTTCTTTAAATTTCTAGCAAATTTTAAAGCATATTCTTGTCATCAGGATTTTTCATAAGCGTCTGTCATGTAACTTTGGCTTTCAGATGTTACCCAAGTTGTGTTGAAGTTCCATCAATGATTTGGCATATATTGCAGTACTTTCTTTAGGGTGAATGAGAGGGAAAGAGAAGTGGACCCTCAACACTCCCCCCTTCTCTCCCTTACTCACACTGTCAGACATATATTGGATCACTTCCTAATTATGTAACATTTACCCAGAAATGGCATGTTCTATATCCATCTTTGGATCTCTTGAACTTACAGTAAATATAAATACAATACAATACAATACACTGGAAAGGCTTGAACACATAATATGGCTAAACTTTGAAAGCTGAATTGTTGTTCTTAGGTCTTCACATCCCGCATTCTGTGAGGTTTATCGAAATTCTGTGTCTAAGTTGTTCCAACGTTTCGACATAAATCACAGGTGCCATCTTCAGGCTGAATGAGGTGTACTGTGAGACTTGTGTCGCATCCACTTTTTTCCTTATTTGCTCTGAAGATGGTAATTGAAATATACACTGAAATGTTGAAACAATTTCATCATGTGCTGCAGCTAAACCCCAAAGCCAGAATTACATATGTGAAAGCCAAAGTTATATATTAAATTTTAAAGGACTCAAACATTTATCAACTTACAGTTTCTTTCAACACACTGTAATCTGTGTTACTGACAGCATTATTAAACAAACAACATATAAATAAGTTTTCTGAAATCTGTAAGAATTATAATTTTCCCCTGACAGAGAACACAATCAGATCTTATTGCTATATATATGTAGTATCCACTGAATGTAGCAGTTATTGTGAGTTTTCACTGAGAATTTTGTCCACTTCATATAATCAAATTTTTCATAACACATATCTTACGATATTTTAAATGTGAAAAACTTAATATGTTTCTAACACACAATTTTTAGAATATTCCAGGAAAGATTTCAGCAGTTACATAACCATATTTGCTGAGATGACTAAGATTTTTGCTTTCATTCTTAAGGTATTCTAGTTCTTAGAGAAGCTTACTGACCTTTCTGTTCATTTCACACCCAGTAAATGAAATCCTGGCTTTATTGCAAAAGAGTTTATTCCATTTTCCACAGCTGTAAGCCTTGGATAAGCACTTGAACAGCTGATATAACTTTCTACAAACTTCTCACTGGCTGACCAAAAGTAACTGAAAATTCATCATGCAAGGAGCAACACTATATTTGTATATATGTAAAAAAATCAATTAGTTTAATAATTAAACTGACTTGTAAAGAAATATCTATAGAAAATATATAGTATGTTAGACTAATTATGCAGAAACATACATGTATTATAGCCATAAATTTGCTTTGATAAATGTTTGTTTTCTGTTATATTACTTGCCAAATCTGAAACTGCATAGCTTCTTGCATGTTAGATGAAAAATTGTATCTTTTTAATTTATATCAATGAATAATTTAAATGTATAGACAACGATTAGTGATGTTTAGCATGATTAATTATATTAAAATTGTAGTTAAATGGGTATCTTAATATTTTTTAGTGTAAAACGTAGAGATCTAACAATATTGTAGCATCTGCAAAATGAAAGTGTTAGTAAATTCAAGTAGAGGTAGAAATAGCCTTGTCCATGGCAATACTTCAGGCTTGGGTTGCAGTGCTACTGCAAATGGTTGTACAGCATGCAGTTAGCATCGTTTTAGGTTCGGTATATCGTTAACAATGACCCAGGAGCTCAATCACTATAATGACTAGGCTACATACAGGCTGGATAAATGGAGAAGCAACATTCAATTTCTGGTGGGAGTAGATGTTATCTCTTCACCGACACATCCAGACTGGCTCTGGGGCCCACACAACCTCCTGCAGAATGTGTACTCAGGATAAAGTTGCCAGAATGTGATGCCGACCATTCCTCTCCATCTAGTGTCAGTGCTGAAAATGAGTGGAGCTAACCTCCACCTCTGCATGTATTTTCTTGGCGTGGTCCTTAAATTAAGAATAGGGATAACTTATCCTAAATATTGTTTAATTGAAACTGTTATTTACCAGTTTCCATACCCCAATGGTAGCATATGTAATATATTCAGTCGTTGCTGGAAATAGTTGGATGAATTGGTACAAAGAATGTAGGATATATATATATATATATTGTGTATATATGCATATATATATCCTGATAGCTTAATATTGTGCATGGCAATGACTATGTGTAATTACACTCTAGCTGTTAACCAATGACGCTTCGTGAAACTGTACTTTATATATATGTTTAGTAACTCTCTTCTTTTGAATTTGTTTCTTGTCTATATTCTATACAGAAAAAAGTTTTCACCATATTTCTAAGAATGGGTTAAGGTAGAAGGTTACTGCCTTCTCGGACATTATGCCATATATTTCAGTAAAGACGTATTAATATTTTGGAAGAACCTGCTGCATCCATCTTCAGAGTAGAAGCATGAGGAACACACAGAAAGTAATCAGCAGTATAGGGAAGTAGGAACAAACTTTGGTTAAGAGCAAACAGATTGGAGGAATGTAAGTTGAATGGTATAGATAGTCTTAATAGTATACATCCTGTTGTGTGTCATATATAGGATATATAACATGCATAATGGGGGCAGTCTACACAATAATATTCCTGACAAATAAAATAGACACTATTGTATCAACATTTGTTTTATTTTGCTGTTGACGCTACATGTTTTGGCCCTTATATTGGGCCATCATCAGGCATGTATGTACGAAGGGGTAGGCCTACTCGGCCCTTGCACTTAGACCTCAGTGGTCCATTGTGCTTCCTCTTTTTAATTATTCCCTCAGCAACCCCACACTTCGGATGAAGCTCAGGATTTTGGACATGGGGGCGTCGAAATAGTCACTTGGTTCCATAAATTACTGACCCAAGTGATGTAGTCTTAAAGAAGCTAAAGCCTCACATTCACACAGGACGTGTGTGGCTCTTTCATTTTCTGACACATCATCAGGCATACAGTGATACTAGTCTTAGTTCTTGAATTTCGTCTAATTTCAATATGGATCCATATTGTGTTCTTGTAAGTTTTCAATGAATAAACTGAATTTTCAGTTAAAACTTAAGTACTTAGGCAGTAAAATTTAGATTTAAAAATTAAAACTTAATAATTAAAATTGTACAGAAATGATATATTTTGTATAGATAGGAATAGTAGTAAAAGGTAAAATGTGAAGAAAAGTGAAAAAATGTCTAAATAAAAGTAAAATGTGGCTATATGTTCCAATTCCGTTCACACCACTCTCATTGGTTTTCCCATAGCCACTTTGTATCTACATATGTGGCCTTTTTCAAGGCCATAAGATCTCATTTATTTTACATCAAAGAAGCTTCTGCAATGTTTTATTTTTTTTTTACCAAAATTAAGACAATAAAAACTATCCAAAATATTTGTCAGTATTTGGGATTTTAGGTTGTCAAAGCATTGACTCATGAAACTAATTTCTTTTGGGATATAAAGCTGTGTAGTCTGGTAGAAGATTACCAACATTCTTCTGAAACACTGGCGAACTTCTACCAGGCTACACATCATTACGTCCCAAATCACAGTTATCTTCATGAGTCAGTTTACTAACACACTTCATCACAATCCTTTAGAATCTCTGAACCCTAACAAATTTTTGTGCGCAGATTTACAGACACACCTCTGCCAATGCTTGATGAAACTTCCAGTCACTGGAGTCAGACTTTTTTAAAGATCCATAGCATCATTGTTTAATTTGATATTCCCATAGCCTGCAATTATTTTCTTTAATTTCCTTATATATATGGAAGATGAAAAAACAATTGAGGAAGGAAAACATATTCTTAATTGTACCATTCCCTTAGTCTCCCTTTCAAACTTGCGTAACAAGTTCAGTTATAAAATGGCAAGAAGATACGTTTTATTAGTGATTCTCTGTATCATAAGAATTTATATAACAACAAACGAATTGATTTGTTCTTCCAATGCAGTTTATTTTTAACTTTCATCAGCTGCTATCCAGGTTTTTGTCATTAGTGCATACATTCTCTATCAGTCATGTTCCTGTTTCTTCAAGCTTGACGAGGACAATGACTCTGATGGTGTTGGGGTCACTTACAGACCCAAATCACAAATCTCACAATGTCTGGGTTGCGTTCAAAATCAGACCTCCACGGTGAGTAAGCTACTGATGTGTGCCAGCACACATAAGAAAACAAAATAATTGTTAAAAAAAATTGGTCAATGCCTATTTTAGAAACAATATTTTATTCTTTCATTTTGCATAAATTTTGGACAGTTATTGCATGTAATAATATCTTTTATTTCAAGTTTCATATTCGAACTTAAAAACTTGATGTATTACATGTAATCCAAATACATGTGTCCCAAAATTGTTTACATTCATAACATCACAACCTAAAATGATATTATAATTTTGTAATAGTCACTGCATGTCAGTGTATCCTTCTGTTTCAATTTCTCCATACTTTCAGTGTGTATTTTGTGCACTATAAACAGTATTGAAAGGATCAGAGTTGATGAAAATTGTGTATCAAAATTAAAGTATTTGTATTATATTAAAGGAATAACTCATAGAGTGACTGAAATATACAGGACATCGAAACAACACATCCAAGTTATCTGAACAGACTACTGAGCAGGCATTTTAGATTATTCTAAGACTTTCCTGTTAACCACATTTTAATTTCTTTAGCACTTTATGTCTTACTTCATTTCATTTGTTAGAGCCATTCCACTTTTATCAAAACATACATCAAATTTGTGTTTACCAGAAGCCTTATATGTGATCTAGTACATCTGAGTTACCAGTTTTACTTCTGGTAAATTTTATGTTGATACAACAGAGGTATGATCTCTTGAAGTCTACCTACATACTTTAACTAAGTGATATGATGTCATATCAGGTATGTAGCCACAGCCATAATTGAGTGATGTTCAACACCTAAGCCCCGAAACCACAAAATAATCAGTAATGTTAGATTATTTTAGGTCTAACCGTGACCCATCAGAGAGGTTGGTGAAAGTTAATTCTTCCTTCATTTTCTTTATCACGTTCATATCTTTACTTCCTTCCATATTGCTATTCCTCTCCCCCATTTGTTATATTGTCATTCTTTCCTATTTTCTTCCTTCTTTCTTCCTTGCTCTCCTCCATGGTATAATATTTTGCTCACTCCCATCTTCCATTTGTTTATGCCTTTCTCTCATATTGATTTTAATCTCTTCTACTTGTCAGTGCTGTCATTCCTCCTTTTATTCTCTCAGTGACAGGATCCACATCTTAGCAAAGATAGATTGCATTTTCCTTGAGCATGAAAGGAATTGGCTATTATTTATATGCAGATGACATGTTATAATTCTTGCTCCATACAGAATAGTCAGTCTTCTAGTTCTGTCTTAAAACATATGCCACATTCAGTTGAAATTATTTCTTATTTAGGATCTCCTCAACAGAATTTTTGTGAAATACCAAATGAGATCCACATTTCTTTTGCACATTACATGTTATAAATAACATGTTCATTATATGTATGTCGCACTGCATGTCCTTGTAGTTACAGGCGTGTTTTAACTGTGGAACACTGCATGGAGACTTAATGGCACACAATTACATATTCAAATCAGTGGAATATTTTCTGTGTGAAAGTAAAGTGTATTTAGAGTATGGGAGATAGCATGAAGCAGATATTCGTTCAAAAATGTGCCTGTCAATTAATCTGTGTCTTATAAGTAGGATTTGTAGTGCTTATATGACATATAAATAAATTCTCTTTTTCTTGGCCATGCACTAAATTCTTAACATATCAAGATTATATGCCACTTCACTGGAAATTTCGTCAAGATTATATGCCACTTCACTGGAAATTTCGTTTCAAACTAATTTTCTATATACAAATCAACTACTATAGTTGAACACTTGGTATATGTATGTAATACAGTCTTGTAAATCCAATACATCAGAGTTCATTGGTTAAACACTACTAATTCTAGTATGTTTCATATGTACTAAAACATTATTTGGCCATATAGGTCTATTATCAGGTATGAATGAATAAATGTATAAGGGGTGGGCCTTCTCAGCCCTTGCACTGCGACCTACAGTAGNTCTATAGCAGTTGCCAGAAAGGCAATCGGGGACTGGACAAATATGAAGTACAAAAAATACTGGGGATCCTTGACTGGACTCAGGCAAGCAAAGGGACTCATACGAGGACCCTCTGCTAAAAGAGTGAAGAAACTGTTGAAGTTAAACAGGCACCAGCTACGATGGGTGGTGGAACTTCTTACAGGACACTGTCACCTTAAAGGACACCTCTTCAAACTGGGACTAACAAGGGAATGGTCTTATCCGACATGTCAAAACCTGCCCTGTTTTTTTTCACTATAAGAGTACACACAACAAAATCCACTGTCAAAATTTTAGCTGCTAATATGCACTGCAAGTATTTTTTTTAAATTGCCAAAGTTACTAATTTTTTCTGTACATGAAACTGCTTGTACCTGAGGTTTGTACAACCCCAGCCTAGGCTGTGAGTCAGCCATGTTACGTGTTGCGTACTGCTCTGCTCTGCTCCGGCTCTGCTAGGGGTGCACATTTCTCCAAGGGTCTGGTAGGCTACAATATTGTTCATGTTCAGCAATTTTTAAAAAATACTTGCAGTGCATACTAGCAGCTAAAATTTTGACAGTGGATTTTGTTGTGTGTACTCTTATAGTGAAAAAAAACAGGGCAGGTTTTGACATGTCGGATAAGACCATTCCCTTGTTAGTCCCAGTTTGAAGAGGTGTCCTTTAAGGTGACAGTGTCCTGTAAGAAGTTCCACCACCCATCGTAGCTGGTGCCTGTTTAACTTCAACAGTTTCTTCACTCTTTTAGCAGAGGGTCCTCGTATGAGTCCCTTTGCTTGCCTGAGTCCAGTCAAGGATCCCCAGTATTTTTTGTACTTCATATTTGTCCAGTCCCCGATTGCCTTTCTGGCAACTGCTATAGAGATGCCACAGGCTGGTTCAGGTCCTATGAATGGATGTTCAGCCCTAATCTTGGCCAATTGGTCTGCTGTTTCGTTTCCAGCAATAGCCTCATGCCCCGGCACCCATCTCGGTTGTACCCTGTTATGTTTGGCCAGTTCCATGAAGGTTTGGTGGCAATCCCAGACCAATTTTGAGTTGATCTGGTGTTTGTCAAGTGCTTTAAGTGCAGCCTGGCTGTCAGATAGAATGTAGATGTTCCTATTTCTATAGTTCCTATCTAAATTCTCTATAATACATGCCTTAATGGCATATACTTCTGCCTGGAATACTGTTGTATACTGTCCAAGTCTGAAACTAAGTTTCCGCCTTGTGCCACAGCAGAACACACCAGCTCCAGTGCCCTTATTTATCTTGGAACCATCTGTATACCAGATCAATCCCCCTTTTCTTTCGGGCCAAAATCCATCTTCACGTTCACTCCTGTCAGGAAATCTGACTGTGAAGGGTTTTTCATATACATGTCTCAGTATCATTTTGTCAGACCCCATTTGTAATATGGGTTTTTTTTTTTCATGTCCTGAGTTATGTATGCATGGCCGAAACCATCGGATCTAGGTTTCCTTTGATCACTGCACTGGAGACGGTAGATTCCTGCCCTGGCCTCTGCTTCCAACTATAGATGCAGTGGGGGGGGAGTCCAAGGAGTATCTCCAGTGCAGCTGTTGGAGATATTCGAATTGCTCCTGTGATACCCAAGCAAGCCAGCCTTTGCAGTTTGCTAAGTTCTGCCTTGCTTGTCTTGAGTTTAACTCTGGGCCACCATACTATGGTGCCGTATGTAATTATGGGTCTTACAAACACAGTATATATCCCCTGCACAACGTGCGGCTGCAGTCCCCAAGTTTTACCAAACATGCTTCTGCATGTCCAAAAAGCCTTATAGGCTTTATTGATGACCTTGTCCAGCTGCTTTTTCCATATCAGTCCCTTGTCTAATACTAGACCAAGGTACTTGACATTGCTGAAGAGCTGGATCATCTTATTGAAGAGGGTCGGTTCCTTAAGGCCCTTTATATTTCTCTTCCTGGTAAACGGGATAATTACCGTCTTATTGGAATTGATAGAAAGACTTGTTCTTTCACACCATCATTGGACCATGTACAGAGCTGTTTGAAGACGCTCTGATACTGTCAAAAGAATTTTCCGTTTCTGAGGATTGCTATATCATCAGCATATCCTATTGTATAATACCCATCATCATTAAGTCCCCACAGGAGATCATCGACGACCAGGCCCCACAGCAGATGGCGAGAGCATGCCCCCCTGTGGACACCCCCTAGATGTGGACGCCCCCAGAGATTCTCCCGATAATGTAGCAGCTATGGTTCTGCTTTCCAACATAGCACTGATCCACCTGCATATTGCAGGCTCTATGCCATGCTATCCAGTGGCATGTTTGATTATATCAAATGAGGTTCTGTCGAAAGCTCCCTCTATATCAGGAATGCTCCTAAGGCAATATCCTTGTGTTCAGTCGCACTTTCTATGTGTGTTACCACGTTGTGTAGTGCGCTTTCGGTAGATTTACCTGTTTGGTAGGCATGCTGGTTTCAGTATCAGGTATACATGATTCATTAAATAACTACACTTTATTGTAATGCTGCATTGCATGTGAGATTTGAAAATTTAAATGTTTATTTTTTAAACACCAGTTGGATCCTTGTTAAAATAATGTATTGTGTGTTTTTTCTATATCATTTTGTCTTATGTTCCATCTGTTGTCATTGGCAACTGCATAATACATTATATTTAGATTATTTTAACAAGGATCCAACTTTGTTTTTAAAAAGTAAACTTATAGACCTTCACATCTCATACTAAATTAAGTATTTCAGTGCAGTGTAACAATTTAACGAATCATACATGCTTCATGGTGGCTCCTTATGCCTGTACCATGTTGTAATATAGTATCTGGAACATATCTTAAGCTGTGTTTAACCAATAATGTATGAAGTGTTGCATTTACAAGACTGTGTTATACATATGCATATCAAGCACTCAATTAATGCTCAGTTTCAATACTCTAAACTAGTTGCTTTGTACATCTACAGTACTCAATCAACATGGGAGACGAAGCTCGAGACAATCATACACAAATGATTGAGAGGGCCGAAATTGCAAATCTGGTTCGTTCGCGAATGGAGAGCCTTAATCTTCCCAGCATTGATTATGATGATGTCAGTGAGAAGAGGAACAGCTTGTCCTATGTAATCATCAACCCCAGTTGTGATCTGAAGCTGGAAGAGGGTGACATAATGTAAGTGTCGTTTTTTTATATTCTACCTAAATGAATTATTTATGTCAAGTTCATAACCTATATTGGAATATTAAAAAAATTATGACTGTAATTGGTAATGTTCTGTAACCAACCGTAGAAATGCCAAGTGCTGAAAAATCTAACTTTTTACAGAAATTGTTATACCTCACAGCATGTAAGAGCTCTTGGCATGCTGTCTGAATTTCATAGCATTTAGATAAAATGCTTCACCTGCATTTGCAGAATTCTGTGGACTTGTAATATTCAGCATATAGTTTGCCCATGAATTTGTATCTAGCAATGCACAACTGAAGCTGCCATTTCTGGGATTAAAGGAATTCAGAATGAAGCAAAAACATGTAAGATTTGAGGTTTTCATGGCGGTGACTATGAAGAAAGCAGTCTTCTGGGATTTGGCACCGTGTATATGTGGTGTTAACCGACGTTTCGGAGGAACGTCGGTTAACACCACATATACATGGAGCCAAATCCCAGAAGACTGCTTTCATCGAAGCAAAAGCATGTTTGAAGAGTTCTATCTTCTGGGATATAATGTCCGTTGAAAGTCAACTGACGTTTCAGAGGAACATGTCACCTCCATCTTCAAGGTTGAATAATAAGCCAAACATGAAACCAGCATGAAAACAGATGGCAAGCACAGCAGGCAGAGCAAATCCTACAAAAGCATGTTTGCTTGCATATTGGTACACCACACATTCATTAAAATTAACTGATACATCTGAGATTATTTTTTGACCCATGAGAATCATGATGGGACCTAAAATCGGTCTTCACTATGTCTGCCTGCATCTTGTCAGTTCAAAATGTTCATAACATAAATTGCTGTCTTCTGAAGCATTGTGTCAAAAGTATGAGACAAGATAATGTAGGTTCATTTATCACTCATATGAATTGCACTTACGAAAATTAAATTCACCTGTAAGTGATTAAGCTACTTAGTTCTGTAATCTCGCACTTCATTTGTATTTGTAAGATACTTAAGTCAAGTACTGATCAGAACTAGGTGTTCTGAGGTATTACATTCTTTCACTCATTTCTTTTATTTTCCATATATCCATACAGGTAACATACCTCTGTCTGTTCGTGAGGATTAAGTAATAAACCTTCAGCTACCATGGAAGATAGAACACTACTTGACTCTGTGGACATGTGTTAGCCCTTCAAGAAGGCTGTGCTCCACGGAGTTAATTATCTATAGATGCACAACACAAGTGTAACATTTTTGAGGTTCTGAATTTCCATTTTAATGATCCTATTCCCCACCTTTGTATGTTGAATCAAATGTTTTATATATATGTATTCAAGCATACCCATTTAATCCTGCAGCTATCTGGTTCGGCCCAGTCCATTCTCTGCCCAAAAGACTTTCGAGCGCCACAACAGTCGACGTAAGTCTAACATCAGTTTCTGCTCGCAGCAGCTTGTGCAGCAGATGGCTGCAAGTTCTCAGGCTGGTAGCCGGAGGGGGTCAGGTCTGGGTCTCTCTGGCTACACAGCCCCTCGTCCACCTCCACTTGTCACAACCAAAGCCAACTCTCTGTCACTTCCAGACAGCCCAACTGTAGTAGGCGGCAGCCCTGGGTACAGAGGGCGTTCAAACTCCCTTCGTGTTGTGGATGATATCCTTTTGCGCCGTTCCAATTCCCTGAGGCAAGGACTCGCATCAGTTGGAAGCGGAAGGAGAAAAAGTAGTTTGGAAGATTTGGGAGTTGCTTTTGCAGGTGTTTCCCACCCAGCAAACCACAATCCCATCAAGATTGCTCTGAATGGCAGCATCGGACTTGAAGTAACACCACCAGATGAAGGCAGTACGCCCAGTGTATCGAGTAGCTGTGGCCTGCTGAACAGTGGACCATCAGGCCTTAGAGTTGAGGTTGGGGTTGACACAAGTGCAAATGGTGGTGCCTCTGGTGGAGGTCTTGGTAGCGGAGTTGCAGCCTCTGGAGGATCAGATGCATGTAGTGCAGGTTTGGATATATCTGGTTTAGGGAGTTGTAATGGGGATAACTGCCTCAGTACAGGACAGGTGTCAACCATAGCACAAGGCACCGTGACGGACCCTCAGCATCTTCAGGGCACTCTTGTATGATATCACCTCATGTGGGGGAGGAGACTCAGTAGCGTGGTTCGCAACAAGTGGCTGTGAACCAAGCTCCTCACTTCCACATCACTTTTCTTTCAGTGCACAAAACAGCTGCACCAAATTGCACATTGGCCTTATTGACTTTTTGAAGATCATCAAAATAATTTGATTATCACTTTGGAATCACATTTCAGATTGCAACTTGGCAGGGAAATACATGTTTCTAGCAAACTGGGGAAATTATGAGAATTTGAGATGGGAATAGTTGTTTAAGAATATTTTATCTTATGGGAACAATTCTTCAAAATAACATAGGAGATAGCTGTTGAAAACTTGCAAATTTATTAATTAATAGCCCCTTTTATTAGAAAGAATCAAAACAGTGAAAATGTATTGCAATTATTGAACAAATGAAGGAAAATTGAGGTATAATAGAAGTACTCATGAAATGAACAGGACAAAGAATAAGTATATACATTCATTGTACATTGGACTGTAATATAATGAACTGTATATTGATATTTATTTTATCCATTGTGTATATGTATGCCATACTTTTGCTTACCTTCCACTGTGAGAGTGTGACTGTGACATGAGAATATCGTGACATCTTGGTGTGAGGTTATGTACACCTCAACAGCAATTTAAGCCCATTCATTTTATTGTATATTCTGTTTGAGACCTGATCTCTGAGAGCTAAGTAAAATGTTAGTTTTTATTGGTCTGGAATTAAAGATGAATGGGAATTTTGGTAAGAATGGACAATGAGGTGCAAGTAAAGATGCAAATTAAATACAACTACCCATTATAGATACAGATGCTGATCTATATAACGGACTTAAAAAAAAAATACAACTTTGTCCTAATGCACTCAACGAATTTAGTCTGATTTCAATGAGTAGCACTCATTTTAGTGCAAATTGCTTGCTGGCTGGCCAGTCAAGAGAGGTAGGAAGGAAGAGGAGTAGATTATTGTGCAGGTGGCAGAAGAGGACTTTATGGGAAGAAGGAAGATATTATGTTCTGTTTATATGACTTGACCTCCTGCAGTTTTTTTACACAACTCACAAAATTCAAGGAACACCTGTACTTAAATTCTGATAATTATGTCGTGATTTTCTTCTTCTTCTTCTTCTTCTTCTTATTATTATTATTATTATTATTGCTACATATTTATGATAATTTGGTTTGGGGGGAGCAGAAATTTGAATTTTATATTTAGCTGTAAATACTATATTTATTTTTATTTTGCCATAATTTATAGTTCATCTTCTGATTCAGCTAATAGGACCAGCTGATTTTCAATACATGTACGTTCACCATCATGTTCTTCCAAGCAGCTACAGTCTCATTTAGATGACCAGTGATATCATGAAATGCAGTCACTATAAATAATATTTAAACTGAGATTACAGTTCTGATGGTATTGACTATGAAGAGTAGTGACTTCTGTGCAGTTTTGTAAAGTTTTACCAGCATTCTGGAGGCTCAGAGGTCAGCTATGTTTGCATCCTTGCTGGGTTTACTCTTCAGTCCTGCAGATAGTGGCAGGACATTCCTCCAAATGCTGCTAAACTTCTACCAGACTACATGCTTTCACATCCCAGAAGGCAGTACAATTAATTGTTAAATACGTAAATATTGGCCAGGAATGTGTAGTAGTTGTATGCAGTAAAACAGTCTGCCTGTATTAAACTGCTGTTTAACAAATTTATAAATCTAATTTAAACTGTATAAACGAATTCCGGTGCTCATGAATTCCGTTCATCATCATCATTTCCACTATAATGACAATTGAGATCTGTTATGGATATTGCAAAACAGAATCCTTCCATCCTTTCAGAGGTGTTTTCAAACTTCTTTTGCTAATTTAGTGATATTTTGGGGGAGAAATTTTGTTAATGAGGAATATCCAAAAATCAGCAACTGAATTCATTATAAGTGCACTAGTTTTTAGCACGTGATGTAAGTCCTGATTTAGCATAGGACACCAGACGTGCATCTTTACTTACTGTCATTGTCCACAGCAATATAAAAAAAAATGTTACGCATCACGCAATATAGGGCATATCAGAAATGTTAATATTTCTACTAGCATGAGTCGTTTGAGGTAGAAAGTTATCTTACTAGGCCTATCTATTTCGAGCAGTTCATTACTTTTACAGTTAAGTATTAGGGACATAATAATTATCCTTAAAAGTCTGTGAAAATGAAATCTGTCTTAAATAAACTCATTTTAGCTTATCACAGTTAAAGTGTTACATTTTAGTTTTAGTTTTATTCAGACTGCAGAATGGAAATGATCTTATAGACTTTTAGCAATCAGTGATCAACACTTATGCTTGTATGTGTACCTAATGCACTCATACCTTGTGATCTGAGGACACACATAATGCACAGTAATAAAAGTTGAGAGTGGTTTCAGGTATACTTTGCCTCCATTTCACTAATATTTACTGCTTAAATGTCCAGCTCTTATTAATGGTCACAGTTATCAGTGGAAAAAGTATTTATAGAAAATCTGAGATGGTGCTTATGAAAACTTCTATTTTCTGGGATATAACGCCAAGTAGTCCATTAAAAATCAACCAACATTTCAGAGTAACATGTCTCATTCATCCTGAGATTCAACAACTAAGACAAGTAGGCTATGCTTGCTGCCTATTTCATGCTTGTTCTTTGGTTGGCTTATTCTTTGACCCTGAAGATTGAGGCGACGATCTTCACAGATGTCGATCGGCTTTCAGTGGACTGCATTGCATTATATCCTAGAAAATAGAAGTCTTCAGGTCTTTAGGTACAATGTTTTCAACTCACAAGGTTTTGTTGCACCAGGTACATAACATAATGATAGATGTAGAGCATGTATGTATGATGAATGAAAACATTTTGCAGACTTGGATAGAGTATATTTGCTATTTATTTTCTTAAGTCTGGATATTGTACTAAATTGTTTTGGCCTCCTTTGTGAAGGCTAAGTTGACTGCCAGTACAATACCAGAATGGGTTGGATGAGGGAACAAGTAGACAGTAGATATAACATATATATAGATATTTATAATGCGATGTTACGTGGAATTAGATCCACATCTGCTCCCTATATATAATTGCCTTCAATACCCTGTCTCTTTCAACATATGGAGCAGTATTTAGAAATGAACAGATAGCATAAGGTGTGATCCAACAGTAACCAGTTATCTGCATAGACTTATATTGTCAGTAGAAGACTGGAATAACAACATGATCAAGTGCAATTAGAGATGTATTTCAGTAAAATGTTTATATTCAAAGTTCAGATATTTGGGTATATATATTATTATTATTTTGCATTTAAAACTTCTGGCATATTTTTAATTTGATGACCAATAGACATGTATACAATGTCACAGTTTTTTTTTATTACTGGGCGAGGTGGGACTGAGTCCACTTGGTACCATGGCCACTACTGGCCTCTTGTACCAGCCCAAGGTGATAGGTGAAGGTGATTATGGAGCAATTGGTGGAATGAAGATTGGTAAGGGAAACCGAAGTACTCAGAGAAAACCAGCCCCAGTGCCACTTTGTCCACCACAAATCCCACTTGACCAGACCTGGGCTCGAACCCGGGCCGCCGCGGTGGGAAGCCATTGACTAACCATACAAAACGTCACAGTTGGTATGATAACTTAATATGAGAAAGAAACAGTCATAATTTATAACATAGAACTTAAGGTATTATGAATAAAGAACTGCATCACAGGACAGAAAAACTTGGAAAATTCTCGTTAAAGTTCACAAATCAATGTATCCATATCTGTTTAGCTAAATAGAATCATGTATGTTAAAAGAAGGATAGGGTACCTTTAATTAAAGTGTAATGATATTTCTACTTCATCCAAATAAAAAAAACTATTACCAGACAGGACAAATCTGATATAACAGAGACAAATTAGAAAACCATAGAAGAAGTCCAGAGGGAGTTATAAGAGGTTCTATAAATCCCAACATATGAATGATTTCGCATATGATAAGAACTGAAGAAGTGAAAAATTAAGACAAAGAAAAGTAATCATTTAGAAAGAATATTTAATAATGAGAGCTTTCTCTTAAAGTAAACAGGGCTTACATATTAATGGCGATATAAGCATGCAATGAATGTCTTTCAATTTGCAAAACGTATAAACAGTCTTATAATTCAGGCGAAAGAATGGTATCTGTAAGTGAAAATATTTTGAACAGGTGTTTTACCCCAATTTATTTTAAGCTCTTTTGAACTATTCCTATATACACGGAGGGATATTATGAGTTAACAGTGAAAATTAAATCGTAAATATTTATGTTTTGCCCATAAAATAAGTAATCTATACTTTATTAAACATGTTGAACATGGGCAAGTCTTTCCTCAATACATTGTAATATCATGTGCTTCTTGAGAAAATTAGGCATAAAATAATTTAAAACAGGTTTTTCATTACCATGGACTATAATCTTTGTTCTGGCCCTATTCAGAATTAACATTAAAACTGCAGCTTTTACAGACATTGATAAGACTTGTTGAGTGGCAGGAGTTGAGTCCCAGGCAGGATTCANCCCCCCCCCCATGACTTCCGTCTATGAAGGACAACACAATGCAGAAAAATATGGACATATTCATGTCCCAGGCAGGATTCAAACCAGCGATCTCAGTGTTCAAGTGGCCCTGATCTATGCACCTTAGCTCATGCTGATCTCATCAGCAATAATAATTATTTAAAATTAAATATATTTTGGAAAACAAATATATTAAATACATAATAGAATAGGGGGCATGCGATAGCATAGTTGGTTGAGGCACTATGCTACAAGCCGGAAGGTCGCATGTTCAAGTCCCAATCAGGTCATTGGATTATTTTTCAGTTGACCTAATCCTTCCAGCCGCACTATGACCATGGGGTCGCCTCAGCCTCTAACAGAAATGAGTACCAGGAATGTTCTTGGAATATTCTTGGGGGTAAAGGGCAGCCGGTGCGCAGGGCTGACAACCTTGCTGCCATCTATGAGCTGATTGTCTACAAAATGTGAGAACCTCAACATCTCACAACCCTATGGGCCTCCACAGCCTGTTACAGGGATACCTTTACTTTTTTTTATACTTACATAATGGTAGGTAAATTAACATATATGGATATCAGAATTTGAAATTTCACAAACAGCACACACTGACTTCAGTAGCCATAAAGAACGACTTTATTTTAACATTGTACTAGATTAGAGGTTTCCATTTTCAACATTGTGGCAGAATTAATTCCCAATAACATTTTCCATCAGCTGATTTAACAAAGAACTTTAAAAAAAAAATAGACATTGGTGAGAGCATAACTGTTTTTATCTACATGATTTCATAATTAATTTAGAGAGCCAGGATAGCAGAGTCAGTATTTTTGCTAGGATACAGGATGGACAGCCGAGGAATTACAGTTCAGCGTCTGACAGGAGCAAGAAATTTGTCTCCCCTCCATAGTGTCCAGACTGGCACTAGGGCCCACCCAGCCACCTGTACTTCTAATATCAGGAGCCTTTTCTCTGAGGGTAAAGCAGGAGTGTGAAGCTGACCACTCACCATTGTCTATTGCCAACATTAATGATGTTGGCGCTATACCTTCACTCTCCTATGAATCTTCATTGTGTATTGACCAATTAAATAGACCCAGTGAAAAATTTACCATTCACCTTATTTTAATTAATGTAATGAAAACTTCAGTTTACTTAGTCATTAATTGCAAATTACAAATGTCATAGACTCTGAATGATAGCTCAAATATACCATCTGTTTACTTCAGCATTAACCATAGCGTGAAGAGGTTAATAGCTAGCACGTTGTGAACTGAAGGAAGACTTTGAATGAGATTTAAAACCATTGTCAATGATAATTCAAGTCTCTCTACATCATTTTTACAGTTACTGAGCTGTCTCATAATGAATGAAATAAACATCTTATTTAATTTGGAAGTTACAATTAAGTGCACACGTTATACACTTTCAGCACAGGCAAATATAATTCCAGAACTTACTTAGCCTTTTCTCTGGCTTTCAGACTTGAAGTGCACAAATTCCTATTCTAAAAGCATAAAACTCTTCAGGAAATACTGACCATTTTCTTTAGTGCAACTAGTGCTTTGACCCTTCCATGCTACAGATGTA